CTACATACAAAAACACCAACGACAACGGAATGTTTACGCTTATCAAACTGCACCCACAAGTCTCTCTCGCTCGCTCTGTCTCTCTCTCCCTCACTCACTGTGTAACTCAAAGGCAGTTCTTATCGAAGTGCTTCACTCCCATTAAAAAGTTCGCACTGCATGCTCTCTGATGATGATGTATGCAATGATTGAGTTTCCCCCCTTTTGTTGGCATTGTTTTCTATTAAATTATTCTAGTTAATTGATTTGAGTTTATCTTTTCTTTGTCTCTCTAAATTTAAGTCTTTCACAATCTGAAGCAGCAGAAGGGCCCCCGCATCCTTTTTCCTCCCCTCCGCCCCCTTGACAACCGTATCCCATGTCAACTTTCAATCGATCATTCAATTCGAATCGCATCTAATCTTGACACTGCTATATATCATCTTTTTTCATAGCATTTTGGTTTACCGGGCACAACGAATTTCATTAAAACCTGGACGGATAGACAATTTGTAAGCACAAATAGATATATTACGAGCCAACATCTTACCAACAAAAAACCAAACCAAATCAAAACGTGAATGATCCATCCAAAGAAATTCCCATTCCAAATATATATAAAAAACAGTTACATCTTGTGCCGTTTTATTAGAAACCTTAACAAAAAGTTCTACCCCATTTAGCGCTACATCCCAACACTTTGCTCTATCTCTCACTGTCTGTCTCTTATTTCCCCCACTCTCTCTCTCTCTCTCTTTCTTTAATTGTGTGTTTGTGTGTGTGTGTGTGCGTCCCTTGTATTGGTTAACCATGCCTCTCCATTTATAGAGCCTACACAAGTCGCAGTCGCAGTCGCAATCGCAATTCATTTTACAGTTTGGCAGGCCGACATTTTGACAGTAATATCATTCAGTTTATGCGCTGCTGCTGGCCAATGCAAAAAATTTAAAGCAAAAACAAAACGTATTCGTAAACGTATTTAATGTATTTTTTTAATTTGTCAGTTTGACTTAAATCTATAACTTCATTTGTTTTTGTTTTGTATAATTCATGTATTAACTTGGCTTTTAGTTTTTTTTTTTTGGCCTTTTAGTTAAAATGTTTTAGTCCCAATCGCTCCCACTCGCTCGCTCGTTCTCTTGCTGTCAACCCGTTTACCGCTCTGTATCTACCACCCGCCCTGCCTAATTTTGTTATTTGTGTGTGTTTTTTATAGAGTATATATATAATTCTTTTAACTGTTTTAAACATTGGCTATTGCTACCTTTTTATAGCTAATCGTAGTTAACTTCTTGCCTAATAATATATCTCCGCTAATTCCCAAAAAGTTTTTATCAATTTGAATGAGTCATTAATGAATTTTGAATTCCTTCTCACAGCTGTTCACGCTGTGGTCCTGGCTGCCCGTGCGAATCACCATGTACCAACCCGTGCTGCTCTATACCACCGAGGAGCACGGCTGCTCCCTGACCACCTTCTACGTGCGCGTCGAGCAGCATGAGCCCACGTTGCTAATGATCAAAACGTGCAATAATGAAGTAAGTTAAAACGTAATTATGATATAATTTGTATGATCTTATTAAATTACAATTTGCCTTAGGTATTTGGCGCCTATTGCTCTTCGCGCTGGTTGGAGCGCAACGTCAAAGATGACAAGGGCCAGAGACAGGCCTACTTTGGCACCGGCGAAACCTTCCTTTTCTCTCTGTATCCCGAACGTGCCAAATACCCTTGGGTGGGCATCGAGGGCGATCGCGATCTGGGCCACAGTTCAGAGCTCTTTATGGCAGCTGATTCCAAAATGATAACAATCGGCGGCGGGTGAGTTAAGATCTATAAAAATTTATATGTTATAAGTGTGAAAGACAAAACAAAATTGTTGACTTGCTAGAAAACTGTAAATGAAATGTTAAGCTAACAATAACATAATGTTATTGAATAGATTACATGCTTTTAGCTCAGATAAATAGAATCAGACTACGTTTGCGAAGACTTTAAAGTAAGGTATAAAAAAGAATTTCGGTATGAAACCCATTTCAAGTCAGAGAAAGTGTCTTTACAGAGTCTGGGAAATTTAACAGACAAGTAGTTTTAATATACTTCGACCTTAATATTTTTAGGATTTATCTAAACTATAAAACATAAATTAATTCCTACCTTTGCTGTTTGCAGAGAGGGCCAAGCTATTTGGATGGATGAGAATATACGATTTGGCAAGACGGACGCTTGCAAGACCTTCAACAATCCCCCGCTCTGTCCGTCGGGTGACTTCGAGATACGCGTTCTGGAGGTCTACGGCTTTGTGGGCGTTTAAGGTCATATGGGCCGCATAGCCCCTACACTCACAACCGAAACCAAATTGCCCGCCGATGTTCAAGTGCTCAGCGTAATAACCCGCACCTATGCTCCTCTCAGACCTACTCATCCACACCTGAACACACGCGCAAACACACATACACACACACAAACAGACACGCAGATACAAGCATCGAAAACGCTTGTGCTTCCGGCTTTTGCGGAAAAATTAGACAGAAGCCGCGAAAAAGAAACGAAAGATGATGATGATGCAAAAGCAGATGAAGAAGATTTGTGTAAACATTTATGAAAGCTTATTTATAAATATGTATCTAAAACAAAAAAGGCAGCACTCGTTGTCGTCATTGTCGTTGTAATGTTAAATGTTTAAAACCCCTTGCGGGAAAAAAACAAACAAATTATATATTATATAATGGAAATACTCTGTGAGTTAATGTTTCAAAACGCAAAAGCTTTGAAATTATATACATACATACAATAGTTGTTATTCATAAACAAAGAAAACTATATTATAATATATATATATGTTTATATATATGTCTATATATATATATCTATATATGTATATCTAAATGTAAATCGTAAAACGTAAACCTATTTCTATATAACGACTTTAAAAAGCAGACAACAAACAAAATATATTCCTTAAATGAAAAGCAAGCGAAAATATAAAAAAAAATACAAAAAGTAGAGAAAAAACAATTAAATTTCTTGTTAAATTTGTCTGCACAATTTTGATTAATATTATTATGATTATTGTAATTTGTATTTTTATTTTTATTATTATATTTTTATTTTTTTCTGCTTTCTGTAAACCAAATTTACTGACATGACTGAATTCGTTATAAATGTTATTAATATTATTATTACATATGTGTATAAATTATATACTTTGTAAATTGCATTGGAAACGTTTTTATTTTCTTACCATACTACATAACTGTCTATATATACATACATATAAACTGGAATTCAAAGCAAAAAGAAAACACGCCACTTGCAGTGCAGTGTAATAGTTATATAAACCTTATAGACGATTAGAAGCCACACTTAAGCTACTTGGGCGTGCAGAACGGATGCAGATAAAGTGGGCTATGGGATTGAGTGGCCAGGGGTTGGGGGTGTGTGCACACATGTCGCATATTGATCTCATTTATGATCCGTATCCAAAGCTTACAACAAATTCAATGTTTATTTAAGATTCATTCCATTTGTGCATTGCTCAAGCTAGACTTTTGTTTTTTTTTTTTTTGCTGACAACAAATTTTGTACAATTTTATTTTGTTAATGTTTTCGACAACTTTTATCATTTCTTTCCATTTTTCTAGTCAGAGAAAAGAGAAAATTGTTCAAAACATGCTGTGCACAAGATTTGTTTTGTTTTGTTTTGTTTCTGATAGGCGTTTACGCACGCCCATTTTAGCAACTGCTCCTTGCACTACTCAAGCGAATTGTTACAATCACAACGAATAAAAAAACTTATGTAGAAAATATTTAAACAATAAAACGATATACATAAATGTAAATTATGCCAAAAAAAAGAAGAGAAATTGCGATTTTGCTGTTGCTGCGCCGACTCAAAAGTCTATGCGCCACTCAATTTCCGATCGCATAGATCAAAACTTGAGAAACAAATGACTCAACACACATTTAGGAGCTGGTACTCCAAATAAACACCTGACAAACACACACACCTCAACCACACACACATACACATGTGGCAAGGCATAACAGCAAAATTTGTAAAATGAATTTTTGTGGCTGGCTTAAACAAAAATATGAAAAAATTAAAATATATATATATGTATTTTATAATTTTTAGTTTTTATTAATTAAACTCTCTGTGTTGTTAAAAGAATATTGTGTATGTAAGCAGCATTATATATGGCACATAGCTCATACCCATAATAACCTAGTTGAAAAGTTTGATCAACTCAAACACAAAAAAACAAAAATATTGAAAAAAAAAGAATATGTATAAATATATTTGTTACTTGTTTCTTCGCTGTTGATAAAAGATTTTTAATTTACTCGGTTGACTATTCAGACAACAAATGCTCCGACGCTCGCTCGTTGGGCTGAGGCTAAGGCTGAGAGATGGAGGCAGTTGCGGGTGCGCGCTCATATTTATGAACAGTATTTGGCAAAGGGCAACAAACAGTCAACTAATTCATTATATTTTGTACATACAATTGTTCACACTGTTTTTCTATATATATATACAAACAAATATATATAAATATATAAATTTATATAAATTGTTCTCTATGTGTAGTTGTTGTTAGGTTTCGATGAATTAATTTGTACAATAACCAACCATTATATAGTGGCATCTAAGTGTGTTATATATGAACTCAACTGACGTTATATTATGCAAAACTGAAATATATAATAATAATAAATAATAATATACACACATATATATATATAAATCTACAGACAAATGCGATGTTTGCTAATTGAATTAAAGTTTCAGATGTTTTTATTTGATTTTTATTATTATTTCGATTTACGAATTACAAACAATAACACACACACATACAGTAATAAACGAATACAATGGAAAATATGCCCAATTATATATTATATATCTTTAAAACAGAATTATATATATATAAATATTATTATTATATATATTTATATATATAAAGTGTATGTTAAATCATTTTAGTGGATGTATAAAAAACAAATAAAAACTAAACAAATAAATCAAAAGTGTTGCAAGAAATTATTTTTTTTTAAATTTAAGAACTTGCTCGGAGATTCTCAATTAGAAGTTAAATAGGTATATTAGGGCCAGCAGTACGGCCAGCACGACGCTGTGGGCGTTTGCGCTACGCGCGCTCAGATTGCAAAAGTCCTTATGGCAGAAGATACAGCCGAGGAAACTGAGATGTGGCATCACCGGATCCGGCTGCTCATCGCACACAGATAAATCGCCAAAAATGCAGGAGCGACGCACGAACAGCGTTTCGCCAGGTGCTGCAAACAAACATGAAGAGCAGCCACTCATAAATTTAAACACGACGATATTATTTAGTAAACACAAACAAAATTATGATTTCCATTCACTTCCCGTTTACGAATGTAACAAACGAATTTTTAATCAACTATTGCGCATTTGCTCGTATGCAAATCACAAATTTTCGTTTACAAAATGCGCCCAACATTTGAGAGCTAGCCAAAAATTATAGAATATACCCAATAAGGTGAGTGCACGGATAACAGCTAAAGCTATTTATAGTAATAGCCATAATAGTTATAGTTGTATATATTATAGCTGAATGTTGATTGAAATCTTTTTTCATTATAACGAAATATTAAATAGTTTTAAAGACTTCTGGTACGTAAATGAAATATATCTGTCAGAAATATGTTTATTTATATATCTAGTTAAACGCTTTGACTGCTTAAGCTGGTCTTTTGATATGTAATATATCATACAACTTGGACTCTACCGGCAGTTAAACTTGTAACCCGAATATCGCCTATAATTTAAGCTGTCAGAATCGTGTTATTCATATCTTATATTTCTGACACTTTAGGCTTTATTAATAGCTTATAGTCTTAAAATATCTATCTATATTTTCATTATACCTAAATTGAAATAGCTTCAAAAATCTACTATAATTTAGACCGTGCAGGTATAGCTTATCTGTTTCTTACACTTTAGGCTGTGAAATGATGAAAATATCTAGATCTATGACTTCAGACAACTTAAGTAGTTCTGACATGTAGATATACCCAGTGGCACTTAAGTACTGCAACGTCATATCAAAACTACAAAAATTGTCAGTAGTCATATCTAGATCTAGTTGTTGACGCTGTTCTGGTATGCAAAGATCTAGATTTAATATGTCTGGTCTTGATGTTAAATATTTAATATCTATTTCAGACATATCTATACCTTATATTTTTTACACTTTCGCTATTATAATATCTAAATATCCATAACTGGCATATATGCCCAATCAGGCTGTTCATGCGTACCTAATGTCGCTCACTCTTGAGGCTTTCCTGGCATCTAGCTTCCATAGATTTCTCATACTCACCGTCGTTGTAGTACTTGGTGAGGCAGGCTGTTTCGGGTCTTTGTAAATAGAAAGCACGCAAATGTTCCGGCAGCTCCATGGAATCGCAGTCTGTTTTGGCAATGTCATCTGGTTGGAAATTATCGCCGCAATTCGAATCGTTGACGGAATCGCATTCGTAGCAGCTAACGGCCAGAGCTGTGAAACGTGTGTGCGTGTGTTTTTGTTTTTGTTATTGTTGTGTGTGTTTAGTATGTGTGTCAACAGTGTATGACACGTTCGATGCGCTCACCTGTAGCCGATAGCGATGCGAACAGCAGCCCCAGCGTCAACGCCCAATGCCCCAACATAGCCAACTGCTTGTGTGTGCGCGGGCAGGTGTGCGCGGGTTTGGCGCACAGGTAAGAATACAGATGATGGATAGTTCGCTTGAATGTATTAAATGAGTGCACAGATTGGGCCCCGTTGATCGCGCCAGAGCGTCACATGGCCGAACCAGCCGGACGAGCTGCACACACGAGACTGAGCCAAAGCCAATCGCATTCTGAATGATGAGTTTTGTATTCATTCTTTTTTGCGCTATTTTCATTCTTTTTTTTCCATATAGCACATTTGGTTTTCATTTGCCTGACAGCGTATAGTACTGGCCACACATACACGCACGCACACACAAACATGAAAATGGTACGAACGGCATTTTGATAGCCGAAAATAAATGTCCGTTGACATGAAACATGAAATGGAGCAAAATACACGGCGCTATTGTGTGCCTACATGACGTGTGATTGTGTGTGTGTGTGTTTGCTTGTGCGGGTGGGTGAGTGTGTGTGTGCCCTTGTTCATGCCTCACACACCGCTTGCCCCCAAAGTTCATTGCGCGCACAAATAAACAATTTTCGCTTTATTCTACATTAATTTAGATTTTATTAGCTGGCCTTTGGCGCTTTCTCGCTTCCTTGGTCATGGCCATTTACAGCAACAACTTAATGGCTAATGCCTCAAATATGCCTCATACCTCCCGTTGGTGAGCGCGTAGCCAATGGGCTGACAGAAGAAACAGCGCCAGTGCTGGCAGCCTCCATAGGTCCAGCTCCAAATGTTCGGCTCCATTGCAGAAGTTCTCATTGTTGCAGACGTGGCAACTGGCATTCTGCACGGATGTCAGCGTTGGGTCCAGTTTGCAGCCAATCTCCGTCTCGTTCACCTCCCCGAAGTAGCAGCCACGCACGAACTTATTGACGCCATTTTCTGTGTGCGGTTCACAAAGCAAACAATTAAGTGAAACAATGTTGCGGCATACTTTTAGGAGCTGTGCTTAAATAAATATAGCTGCGCGGTGTGTGTCTTGTGTGTTAACCTACCTACACTATGTTTGTATTAATTTGCAAGCTTACGGAATTTACTTAGTTGAATTGGAACTGCTTTTGTTTAGTGTTCTTTACACTGATTTCATATGTATATATATATAGATCTTAGGCTGCATTTGAGATTGGGCTTTCACATTTGTAAACAAATTTAGTTTCTCTTGAAGCGTAGCTTAATATATTTTTTAAAATTCTCAGACTGGAAACTCTTTTATTGAACAGATTTAATGTGTTATTTTTAGTGTTGTAAATTTTATAAGAATAGTTTAACAAGTCTTGAAACAGTCTAAAAAATGCATATATTATTAAATTTATTTTAAAATTATATGTGAAACAGTTCAAGCCAAAGCACTTTTAACTTTTCTTAACACAAATTTAAACTAAATGTTTTTGTTGGCTAATGAAACACTTAAAACGCACAGATATGCTTTATTTGCAGATATGTGCTTCTACACAGTGATACTCTTGTCGAATACACAATTTTATGTACCCTCGACAACTTTTTGCACTCAAATATAGAACATAGAATTTTCTAAAATATTTTGATTAGAGATTCACTGTTTGAGTCGAGCCATCATCAATATACATTTCATTATTATCAACTCTACATTCTATAGATACACACTTAAGTTTCATTGATTGATTCTTAGATTTAAATGCGCAAATAGTTTGGCAACTAAATAATAACGCCCACAGTAAACTGTTGAAGGACACGTTTTTAGGTCAAGTTACTAGCTAGAGGCGCACTATTTTCCTTTTCATAGTTTGCGGGACATGCGGTGTGGTTGTGGTGGTGGTTGGGTGTGTGTGGAGTTTACTTACCGCGGAAAACGCGCTTCACGCAGGCCGTGGCATTCTTGTTGGACAGTTCGTTTTCCAAAAAACGGGGCGGGGCAATGAAGGCGCAATCGTACTTGAAATGATTCTCGATTTCGAAATTCTCGCCACAGCTCGCCTCGTAAACGGACTCGCATGAGTAGCATCTGATGGCGTAAGCTGTTGGCATTGAACATACGTACATACATATATAAATACATATATATATTCTCGATTTTAATGTCTAAAGACAGAATGGTCAAGAGCGAACCTGTGGCCAGCAGCGTGAGCAGGCAACTCAAGCAAAGTAAATACTGCATTTAAACTGATGTTTTCGCGCTGAAGTCAAACAAAGGAAAACTCAAAATACTTTCCCAGTTGTATAGCTATAAATAATTGGCATGGATATATGGAATTTATTGCTGAAAATATTATATATATATATAGTTTATTTTAATTGCCACATTGGCACATCTTGTTTTATGGAAATTTCTTCTGTTGTTTAATTTTTTATTTATAACTTTTTCACTCAGCGCGAACCGAATTATTTGGCTTGGAAGTGTTTGCTCACGTCCAAGTTGCATATATTTCTATAAATTACTCGTGTTGTTACACATTTCATATATTTTTATTATATTTATTGAAATTTGTATGCACTGTAAACACGCGTCACTTTGTATTTTGCTATAATTTCCACACCGATGTCTAACAACAGTCGCCCGCCTCTATCGTTGCTATAGAGATTTGTATCTTTTGCTGTTGTTGTTGTTGTTCTTTTTGTTGTTGTGGTTTCAGAGATTTTCCGGTATGTTCTGTTTATAAAACAGCAGAAAACGCTTCAGCCGTCCGTCAGTCGACAGCCGCGTTCGAAACTAAACTGAGAAATGCCAAAAGCATTTCCAAATTCCACTTCTGGGCTCTCACTCTGCGCCTCTCTCTCCACTTCTCACTCTTGCTCTCAGTGGTTCCTTCCTACGGTCTGGGCAACCACCTATTGAAATTGTCTAATTTTAATGAATTTCCCCCAGACGCAAAAGCATATATATATTCTATCTAGAATTTATAGCACACATATGGAGGAAGGCGGCAAAACGTTTTCATTTAGCTCTTTGCCCCTTTTTTAATATCAGCAAAGAGAGCTAACAAAGTTGCCAAAGAGCACAACTAACTCGACAGTTTATATGCGTGTGTGCGGGTGTGTGCGGGTGTGCGTGTGTTGGTATTATGCATAGAGGAGTGTTAGCACAAGCTTTAATTATGGCCTTGCACGCAAGGACAGCTTTCACTGGAGACACATTGTCAATACATTTATTTCCCTTAATGATGATAGCGTCGATGCCAAAGGACGTGTTGTGTAGATAAACGATTTTACAGCTGACCCACAATTCAATTTGAATTGCAGAATGACTGTAAATTGATTTGCATATACTTCAAATCTACTTATTTAAGTTATATTTATGGCATGTCAAGATTAAATATAAAAAATAAAAACTATTTTAAAGCACTTACATTTAGTTATTGTTTAAACTAAAAGGAACATCAAGAATAAATATTTAATTTTTTTTAATATTTAATATAGAGAATCAGAATATATATATAATTTTTTATATATTTTTTAATTATTTCACTGCGTATTTAATCGCTCTACTATTTTCTATAACTAGATTCATATTATGTCTGATATCATATTTAATAAAAACATTATCAATATAAGTTTGTAATATATATAGGTGATGCAACGTACCAATATTTTACCTTTCGTTCTTAAAAAAATCCCTTCAAATTGAATTTGGTATAAAAGCTGTTTTAATTTTGTCAATAAAATTTGATTTTTTTTACATAAAAGAGATATGAAATTTTGATAATACATAAGTTACTTTTGAAATGTTTACGACTTTAAGTTACCAACTGAAGTTGAAGACACCAGTAAGACTTTAGGCCAGCAGGCGAGCCACGCCGAAGAACAGCAGAATGGCTCCAGCAATGGGGGCGATGGAAGCGGAGCCGTTGCACTCATCCTTGGTGCAGACGTCGCAGCTGAGCTGCTTGACGAATGGCAGGGAGGGGTCTGCCTGGCAGCCGGTCTGTGTATTGCTGACGTCACCAAAGTAGCAGCTGCGCACGATCTGTGGATGGCCGGGCACTAAAAAGGGCAGCAAATTCGTAATGTTAATTAGTTTCGAAAGATTTACAGAACTTTGCTAATTTTGATGCATCGTCATCATACTGAAAGCTTATGATGTACAAGCTAACGAATGCTAATCAGACGCGTTGACATCGAGTCAGGGTGACGGACCCTGTGAGCTCTGTGCTCAGCCTAAAGCTGACTATTTTTCAAGGTCTGTCATTGTTTCAACGTCGATTAACTGTTATTTGAATTTAATTAACATTGCTTAGTGGTTTTTCATAGTGTTTACCAAGTTTGTAAATCTCAATAATGCGCAGTTCTCACAGAACTTTAATGACTGCAAAAGCTAAGCTAAGACAATTAAAATAAGATAACCTAAATATAGCTGTGACTAATTTATGGATGACAACCTGACAGCTACTTAATTACAGCACTCATACGCCCTGTTTGGCAGAACTCGTGCGATTCAATTGTTGATCCAATTAAGAGTAGTCGCAATGACGCCTTTGCAGCTTTCTTGATTCGAAAACAATTAAAACTAAAAGCAAAAAATTTAGGAACACATCTTGATTAAAATAGATTTAAATTATGTTAGAAATTCTTAAGCAGAATCACATATACTTCAAAATTATTTATACTGAATGAACATATTTATCCTTTAAAAAATGTCGAAAATTGAGTTCTTAAAAGGTCTGAATATCTGAGCACTTTTCCTATTATAACTATAGCATTTCTACGTTTTACAGACTTGGGACTATATTTTAATAAATTTTTCATAATAAAATAAATTTTCTTAATATTAAAAACTTTAAAATATTATTCCCCTATTAAATTGGTGCATAACCTGAGTAAATAATAAGTTTTTAATATATATTATTAAAGATTATTCATCTTAAAACACACACACAAAGATCACAATCAAGCCACACATGCATACTATAGTTCTGATGTCATTTTTTGTGGCCCGAGCTCGTCGGCTGAAATGATCTTTGCATGGGCATAGTTGGTTGCTTTTTCTGAATAACAATTGAAATTACGATTGAGTAACACAGCGCGAAAAATTGTCTTCAATTTGAGTTAATATCAATGATTTTTTCAATATTTAATTTGTTGATGAACTCAGCGATTGAAGGCAATAAATAATATCATTTTATAGAGCCTTACGCTGGAGTATTCAATTAAACAGCTCAACGTTAAAAACCTAAATAATTATCAAATATATTTGCATGACAAACACGATTACGCGATAATTGTTTTAAAATGCAAAACAGAACTTGAAGCTCAACGGTTCAGATCACACGATCCGCACATTTGTTCCCACATTCTGTCGGGCTTCGAGCTGAATAGAGGGTTGGGCATATTTATATATTATGCAAATAAATATACACATATAAGAGAAAACTAGCCCATAAATGGATATTTTTGATCAAATTAGACAATTATTTCTAGTGTATCTTCGCAAAAGTTGCGCATACGCCTCGTCGGCTAGCTGACGGACATGGTAGACGCCCTCGGGTCTTCTTAGCTCAACGCTCGAGTACGATTAAAACTAATTAAGCTAATTGAATGTACAACAACTGGAAGTGGATGACATCACGTCATAGTTGTGACTTACAGCCTTCAATGGACTTCTTCATGCAGCCGGTGGCATTGCGTATGAAGGGGCCGGTTTGCAGGAAACGAGGCGGGGCAATGCGAGCACAGTCCAAGAGCAGGTTGGAATCCGCCTCGAACTTCTCGCCACACTTGGGACTGGTCAAAGATTCGCACTGATAGCACTTGATGGCATAGCCTGTAAATGGAATTTTAAGCCAGGTTGCTAGCCCTACGCCACCAACTGTTGCATACCCGTGCAGGCGAGGGAAGCCAGAATGGCCAAAGCCAAGACATGACCCACTTTTGAAACCATTTTGAAGCACTGAACATGTATGACACGAGCACGAAACAAGCGATGTAACTTTTATAGATCTGAACGGCACGGCGACTGGTTGGCTTCTGGTGGTTTTTTAGCTTGTTTTCTAAGTTAGCCAAGCGAACGCACCTTCACTTTACACTCAAATTGAAGAACAAAAAAACTCACTCATTCGCATTTTGAGTGAGTTTTGTTGCGTGTGTGTTTTTTGCAGTTTTGAATTGAATTTTGAGTTTAGAATTTTTACGCTTGACACACAAACATTTAGACAAATGACCACAATTTAGCTTTTATATGCACAATATACTTATGTATATATATTACGAATCGGAGAACTTGTTTTGGGTGATGTCAGACAAATGTTGTCTTATTTATTTACTTTTCCTCTTGACTCCATACATGTGTAAACACAAAACAAAAACACAAACACATACACACACAAATAAATATATTGTCATTGTTATTTTTATGTTTTGATTGGAGTATAGGGCATTATATAAGTCTGATATATGTCATGTTGCATATGCTTCAGTATGCGGCATCTCATTTGTATGCCATTCATTCAGCATTTCATGCTCATAGTACAAACAGGTTTAGTTTTCACTTTTGAGTGTGTTTGGAGCATTATCACTTAGTTATGGAATGTGCATCATCTAACTTAGTTAATTTTGGAGTGAGCTACCTTAGCCGCTTATCATAATTAAATTTTTAATCAGTTACCAATCAGATTAAATTCTATTGAAATAGGTTTTTGGAGTAAACTCAATTGATAGATAAGCTGAATAGAGTTTAATATTTTAATTTAATTAATTTGAAATTACATAGAATTTTATTTGGGTATATCTGATTGCTCGATTATCTGTGTTTTGTTTGTTTGTCTTCTATATTCTGGGAAATTTGCTCTCGCTTGCAATTTCAAGCCAAATTTATGACAGATCTCATTATTATTATCAGTTTTATAAAAATTTTTTCAATTAGAGTATTTAACCTTCGACTTATCGCATATCACACTTTATTTACCTATCTATTGAGTTTCTTTTAATTTGCGATGCGTAATAAACTGGAGAAAATTACTCAGCAAACAACACTGAAACAAAATAAATCAAATTAATTAGTTTTTAATTTGCAAGCATGGCTTTAATTGTTATTGTTATTGCGGAGATAATAACTATTATGTGATACATTGGCAATGTAATCAAATTAACAAGAACTGCATGTCTTTAGAGTGAACAATACTATATAATTTTCTAAGTTTTAAAGGCTTGAGATAAAGTGTTGACTCACAGAAGATGAACAGCTTAGCTATTTCCAGAACCTTATTACGCATCACAAAGAAAGTGAAATGCTAATAAATTGATAAATGAAAAATGTTGAAGATGAAATTCATTAATTGAAGAAAAAGTTTTATAAAATGGTATTGAAATTAATACTTCAAATGTTTATCATTTAAGGAGCATAAATTGCATTTAATAAGTTACATGATTTATTAACATTTTATTTAACAATTGTTCTTTTTATTTAAAAATTTTCATTTCTTTATATATTTGTACTATTATTAATATATTACAGTATCAATTACTTTCTATTCCAATAACTTTATTAGTGATATTTATATAATTGCATTCTAATGGAAATCGTATATTTTACTTAGAGCCCACAGAATTGGTTTAAGTGCTTTTTCCCAAGCATCCGTTGAATTTCCATTTCACCACTTATATGATTTTCCATGCTGCTCAATTGGTTAATTTTTTCAAATTATTCCAAATGAGTTTGGGTTAATTGAGAAGCAGCTAACTGCAGCTGCTGCAGCTCGAGTAGGAAATTCCCCCAGTCTTCCTTTCCCTCACCCAAGCAAATGTTTCATTTGCAGTTTTTTGACCTCTTCGATGCGTTGCGCATTGTTAAATGAGTTAAATGTGTGCTTAACACTTTGTAAACTCGACTTCGCCTTCGACTCGGCGTTCAAATTTAACTCAATTAAACATAATTAATAATGCAGACACACTCGCTCACGTACACACATTTACATACCCACACCCACCCGCTCACAGCCCACATAGTAACATGCTCACATGAGGGCATTCGTTGGGCAGTTGCCTGACCTTTTTTCAGCTTAATTGTTGAATTTGTGAGCCACTTATAAACATTTTTGTTTATGGTTAATTAGAATTTCCAGGTGTTGGGCCTGGGCGGAGTTTTGTTTTTAGACATGCAACTGTAGATGAGTCATGGAATTTACGAGGCTTGCTTTGGCTAATTGACGCGCCGTGAAATCCATTCCGTAAATGCGTTACATTCATGAAACACAGAAAAATTTGGCACAGACTTTGCAATTCGTAATGGATACACTCATGCGGCTGCAATAGCCTTTCGCCATATACCATATACTAGTATGAGGGAATGTAGCTATTTATAATTATTGTGTCTGAAGGCAAGACAGAGTCTCAGTGATAAGAGCAGATATTCTGAAGCATATATGAATAAACATTTATGTATTATATATATTTCTGAAAAAGATATGAATATGGCAGCAAGTGAGGTCGAGAGAGATTAGAGCAGGAAGAGTGATAAGAGTGAGAGAGCGGATGAAGAATCGAGAAAGAAAATAAGAAAATATAGTGTAAAATATATATCGTATAATACTAGATAGAACGAACATTTTTGAGAAATGACACTTGACAAGTCTATGCTGAAGGCTAGGTGAATATCAAAAAAATATCTTAACAAAAATTCATCAATGAGGCCTAGTGTAAAGTTACTCTAGCAATTCCAAGGAAATCTCTATTCATAAATCTATTTTACTCCAACAAAATCCTTTACAATTAAAAAGTTTTTTTTTCATAATTATTTCTCTTTTAAAATCCACTTAATTTCTTTGAGCATATGTTTTCTTATCGGTGGTCATTTCCTTTTGATAATGTCAACCAGTATTTATTATATATTTATTCAAAAGACTTTTTATTCTTAATCATTGAGATGTTGCAGTAAAATATATGATTTATGTCCACAAAAGCTTTTAACTTGTTATCGTTATCTGTGAAAAATAAATTTAAATTATTGAAATTGTTTTTTATAAGTGATCCACAAATAGCTTATTAATTGCAATTGCATCTGAAATAGGCACAAATTTAAACGAAAATGTTTCACAACTATGAGGCAAATCAAAATTACAGCTGATAGAGACAAGTACTTAAATACAATCGGGAACTAAGAACTAGTGTCAAATACTAGAGATCGATCTAGGCCAACAGGCGAGCCACGCCGAAGAACAGCAGAATGGCTCCAACAATAGGGGCGAGAGAGGCGGAGCCGTTGCACTCGTCCTTGGTGCACACATCACAGCCAATTTGCCTGACGAAGGGCAGGGAGGGATCCGACTGGCAGCCGGATTGAATGTTGTTGACATCTCCAAAGTAGCAGCTGCGCACGATCTGCGGTTGTCCCACAACTAAAGGTGACAATGGAGGTGAGAAATTTTGTTAGTAAAAAAGGCAAAATAAACTTTCACGCTTTGCTTAAAAAATAAATAACTTGTAAATTATATTCAAGCCCACAAATGAGTTCATTGTTCGGCAGCTGCTGTTAACAATGCAGCCCGTTTGTACAACCCGAGCTAAGCAAAAAAAAAATACAATAATTTTCTATGCTGCCTGACGCATTGTTCCAGTCAACGGCAGCAACTTGACTCAACAAGATTCGTAATTAGCAAAGGTTGCTGCTGGGATCAGTTTCACGGTTGAGTTCGATTTGCGATTTGCTTTGATGAGCTGAACAAAGCTGCCATAATTCTTAATTAATTAGTAAACAATTATGAAGCGATATATAAGAAGAATAAAAAACAAACAAGTAATAATGTAGCAATCTGACGCCACTTACTGAAGAACAATTTTTTATTAGTCTCAATGAGACTTGAAATATGAATATTTATACGCGTGAGCCAAACGCATATGTGCCACGCCCCATATAAGACGAGGGTAACCAGTCTTAATAGCAGCGAAATGGTTTCAGCTCAAACAGATGCACAATGTACAAACTTAACATACTCTTTTCACTCCGTCAACGAGCATTACTATTAAAAAGGAATTAATGTCTAAATTATTTGAATACAAATTTTAAATGCCAGCTTATCTTATAAATGTCAATTTATAATCTTCGATTATATTGAATAAATAATTTACATTTATAGACATGTCGAAAGAGAAAAAGAATATATACGAGGAGATATAAATGTTTCTCAATAAATATTTATAGAGATGAATTTGAAATGATAAAAATATTTTAAGAAAAGTATACTTTTTATATATGTTTCTCCATAAATCTTCTGCCATTTGCTGGCAATCTGAACTTCAAAGAAATATTAAAATATGCTAATAGCTGAATTTCACGCTCCCCGTCCGCGCATGAGGAATCACGTCATTATTATTTCAATACGATACTCACACTAATCTCAAAATTATACGAAATTACACGAAACCCGAAAATACAACAATGTCGCGATGCCCATTTCAAAATCCAATAACTGCGCAAAACTCAGCCACACAGAGACCAACACGACGAATAACAACAGCGGAACGAACTCAAGTACAGTCAAATGACATCATAAGTAACGCAGCATAATGCGAATATCTATGCTCGCTTGAGAGCCGCCACTAATGGACGGCACAGATTGGCGATGCGAGAGCTCTATAACGATACACGATCATGACATACATGAGATTGGAGGAACTTACCGCTCTCGAGCGTCTTCTTCATGCAGCCGGTGGCGTTTTGAACGGGGAAGAAGGCCTGCAGAGTGCGTGGTGGCCCAATCTTGGAGCAATCAAGTAACAAAGTCTCATCCTCCTCGAATTTCAAGCCACATTTCGGTGTGGTAAGCGACTCGCACTGGTAGCACTTGATGGCATAGGCTGCAAGTTGACAACAAAATTGGATTAGTCCAAACAGGTTGCTTTTTGGGACAGTCTAAAAAACACACCCGAACAGGCCAAGCTAATCATAATGGCCACGGCCAAACTGCATTTGATGGCGGACACCATTTTTTGAAATTATTTTAATTTTTATTTATTTTTCTTTTGCTGCAACGTCCACTGGAACTGCTCTCAACCTCTGCTGACAATGTCTGCTGCACGTCTGACAAGTACACAATTCAGTTGCCCCGTTCAGACGTCTAGCCGTCCACTATCCGTTATCCCCCATGCTCATTCCACTCGGTTCTCAGCGCGTAACTGCGGCTGCGCCGTTCACTCCAAGCACCGTTTGAGTGAACGATTTGAGAGCGTCGGAAAAACTGATGTGTTTTGAGTATTGTTCAACCGGTTTTCATACATTTGCTTAGATTATTTGAATCTGTTTTTTAGTTTCCTAAATTTTACAAACAAAACTGATTTCACTCACAAGATTGTTAATTATTTCTGAGCGTAACGGCGACTGCGCTGTTTGCTTTGAGTTTGTTTTGAGTAGAAATTTGTATAGGGTGTGGTTCAGGTAAGCTATTGTTGTGAAAACACAAAAAAAAAAACTTTTGTTTTGATTAATTGGTGAACCGGTTTTCCAGCACTTGCCTAACTTTTGTTGTGTGTTTTGAATTAACTTTAAAGCCATCACGTTTTTAGTACGTTTTGTAGGCACTGATATGCACTGAGAGAAAGTAATATTTCTTTAGTAAAAATCCTTATCTTACGTAATTCAGAATCTTACAACTGTTTTATGTTCCTAAACAAGCTCTAGTTGTCATTCAACAATTTTATTATAATTTGTTAATGATGTATTATTAACAACTACAGTGTAGAACCATTTGTGTTGCCGTTTTATTCTCAGTGCATCATTAAGTCGTTAATATGCAGGTGTGTGCTTGGAGACGTGTAACTAATGTTATATAGAAAATGGCCTGATCATTTAAAAGGCATGACAGATTTTAATAATAGATTTGTTTTTCATCATCAGCTGCTTTAGAAATTTATTACTTAAGGCGTTGAGTCATTAGCATACAGCTGACAAAATGCAATTGTTAATTTGTATTACACATAATAAAATGTTATTTAAAGCGACTTTAACTGGCAAACATTTATTCATAAGTTTGTCATCTTAAGCTCCAGTGACACAAGTTGAGTGAAACTAGCCGCCGAAATTTCTCGTTGTCTCCTAAAAGTATGCAACATTTAATAAACCAATATCTCTCAGCCCTGAACTATTTAACAATTTAATATAAAAGTTATTGAAACCCCATCGAAGCACGATAAATCAGCCTCAGTGTGATTTGAGCGGCACAAATGGCAAAGGCACAGCGGGTAGCAGTTGCCCCCCGGCTGAGACGCTGTCCAAGAGACACAGGATAAGGGAGAAATGAGGTCAGCATAGAACTCATACAACATTCACGTCTAATTGGATTAGCCTTGGACTTAGTGGAACTATTGAGCTCAGAAATAGGATACTAAGGAATTAAGGAATCTAATTTCATGTGCTTAAGAAACTACTTCCTGTTTTCACATCGTCGTAAATATTTAGTGTATAAACTTGTTATTTCGATTTCCTATCATAATAAGTCGTCGCTCTACAATCTATTTACACTGTAATCTATTTATACTCCAAAACTTATTTACACACGATTAAACTTTAATGAAACGGCACTTGCTTGCCACGGGGTGTATTTTGCCATTTGCATAGATTAAGCTAGATATTGTCAACTTCAATTTTAGTCGAACGATGACAGATTAAGATTTAGGACAGGCATTGGAATGAAACAGGTAAGACAAGCGGGTCGAAAGCTGCTTTTTCGCCTAATTTTTTGTAAACAACAATACTCTAACGATTTATATACTTTTATATGAATCTATAGTATCAGATAAGAATCTTGAACGAATCTCCGACTTCTTCGAGAACTAATCCTTAACAAGCTCTTCAGATTACTTGTGCATTAAGATATATAAATATATATATATATATATATATCCATTGCCAATCCCTCCCCTTAAGTAATGTCCACTCCAACAACTGTCACATAGATAATGAACTTTATTCGGTGTCTGATTTATTGTTTATACAACTGTGATAAATACATTGGAGAATGCATGCGGTGTTCTGACTTGTACACTTAAACATTATTTCTTTGTAAGTTTTATTATTATTATTGTGGTACTTTATCATTTATAGAGCGTGGCTTGCTGTTGTTGTAGTTAATATTCGATTGCTAAGCTAAGCTATTTGACTAATTTGCTTATCTGAGTGTCGTAATAGTTTGAGTTAAAAATGATTAAAGCAAATTATGAAATGCACTCTTGAGTATTTCTCTAAATAAATAAAGTAACTTTAAATTAGAACTTAACATAAAATGGAGACTACGAAGGACTACGAAAGGGTAATACGCCTATAACTAAACTAAGTGAAATATTAATGGTAATCAGCGAATGGCTTAGCTTTTCGGCTAGCTAAATAAAATATCACGTTCCAACTAAAAATAGAGATACGATTGAAGCGACGTGGCTATCTTAGTTGGCTAACTGATTGGCCACGGCCAGAGCGGGCAACAAAATGGCGGCAAAGATGGCGGCGAGGCCGGCGGCGCCGTTGCAGCGATCTGTCAGGCAATCCTCACAGAATATTCGGCGCACATTCTTCTCGGGGGTAGTCACATTGCACAGCTCCATGGGATCCGATTTGTTGGTGTAGTAGCAAAAGCGCTTGGTAACGATTTTGCCATTATCTAAAAGAGAGAGAACACTGATTAGTGAGGGTATTTCTAGTCGGCCTTATGCACTTACACTCCTCGACAGTCTTGCGGCAAACGGCACGCTCGTGATCGGAGTTAATGGAGCTGTTGCAGCTGCGCAGCAGATTTATATTGCGCTCCTTGATCAGCTCCGTGGGTATATTGTCCTCCTGGAAGGTCACATCGCAAAAGTCCTCCGAGCCAATGGTGCTCGAGCTGCAGTGCCAGCACTGCAGATGCTGATGTTCATGTGCTGCAAAGATGACCAAGCCAAATAATTCGATTAGTTTATGTTACTGCGCGACCTTAACAGCCTGACCTCAATTCGGATGGCTCGCAAAAGCTGAACAATGTGTGTATCCAGAAATTGTAGCTGTTGACATCATCATGCTCTCATTGCCAAAAACAAACTTAACTGACTTTATGTGCGGCTGACCAGACTCCACACCCCCACCAATCTGTTCCAACCCCCATTCAGCAGCCGCAGCAGACAGTGAATTGTGCGTAGCGAGTCAGAGCGGCGCCTTTCATTGAATATTTATTACGTATACGCCACGAAGTCGCAGACGAAGGAAAGTAAGTGAAATTTATGACTTGCCCACGCAAGCCAAGATTTTTTATGAGATTCCTTGGCGTCCATGGAGCACTAAAAACTGTTGAATCGCAAAATGTGTACTTCATGTTGTAATTGTGGGAACTAAGCCGAAGACGTGTTTCAACTTTAAACTATTTTATAATGAGTTTGGGCTGGGTGAAAATGGAAGTAGGGAGAAGGGCTTCTCAGCTATTATATACATTTTTTGATTACAATTACTCTGACATGGTCTTAAGGCTTAAAGGACTCTGTGTCGAGCAATGGCTATGTAGTTTCGATCCCCAGTTAAAATCTTTATTATTATGAATTGATTTAATTGTTTTGATTAATTTTTAGCATAATCTGATACGGATTGTATACAAATATATTGCTTAATTTGTGTATAGAATAATAATAGAATACTTGATAATAATATATTTAGATATTATTAAACTGAAGCCTATTATTTATTTATGAGAAATGCAATTAAAGTTTTTCGTTGAACTACATTTTGATATTTTATAAATTGTCAAACGTATAGGACACAATGAAAAAGAATAAACTTAATTTCAAATCTAAATAAAACTGTTTACAATTTGTTATAACAAAAAAACATCTAAGAAATATTTAAAAAATTGTATAGTAATTTTTTATATTTTCCAATTTTCCCATTTGATATAAAAATATAATTTCGAAAATAATTTCGTTGATTCAAGTGTAACTTTTCGTGGGAACTACTCAATAGTTTTGCTATCAAATCTCTCGGCATTTTTTTCGCACTCGCTGATTGATTTGGCTAGCTGACTGTGATTATTTTCTTGTTGTTTTATGAAGCGCTTTGTTTATTTATTTTTCCATATAATTTGTTTTCGAATTGAATTCAATTTTTTGGTAAACATTGACAGCGGAAATATTGGCACAAAAACTTGAGCAAGCTTATTTTTGAAGCAGATTCGCATTAAATTAATATTTAATTGGATTGCCCACCTGCGGAGGTGGGCTTGGGCCATACATTGACGTGCTGGTCAAAACAAACATGCCAAGCAAAATGGCCTAATTAGATAGGCGTGATTAGCCGCGGACTCGGACAGCGCTAAAGATCAAGATGGTTTCTTTCACTTCAAGGTTTCTTGCATGTCCAGGACTGTTGTGTACATTTGTCTTACATGTTTGGCTTTTACTTTTTTAAAAATCAACTCGCCGTAAATCTAAATCAAACATGCAATGCTATTGTTGTTGCTGTTGCGACCTTGACTCGCGTCATGGCATCTGGCGGACGGGGCTCCCAAGCCATTCACTTGGCTGAAGGTGTCAAATATTTGCATTTCATTTTGAAAATTGTGAGTATATTAAATTACATTATTATGAACTTAAATGGCAGCTGGAACGTTGGCCGACCAAGTCCTTCAGCTGTCAGCCCGCAACACGACATTGGGGCGTGTGTCTCTAAACTTATTTGAGTTGTTGTTCTACGTCTTCAGCGTTGCAACCTTTGCCTGCATTTTTTAGCCTTGTCGGTTCTAGTTTACAGACTTACAGACTTCCTGTAGACTGACGTGAAATTGTGGGTAATTTGCCAACGCCCTAGTCTCACAAACTTTCTAGATGGGCCAACTAGTGTTGCCTTTTCGCTCTGAGTAATTGATTGTATTTTATTTTTGCCATATACTATATACTATATATATTAGAGCCAAGTCAAGGTCGCGTGCTGGCTTTCTTATCGGGCACACGCACAGGCCATTATTTTAACCATTTCTATACCCTGTAAGTCAGCCAAATTGTATAAGAAGTTATTTTTAGACACCGATTGCGTTTATATTAAGTGTAGGGCACAAGTGATCAGCTAACTTTTCAATATATATGCAAATTACAGCTTGGTAGCAGATGAGTATAAAGATTATAAAGTATTTCCAATTCTTGCTGCACTCAATTGGTTTTTCCTGCACTATCTACTCTTTACATTCTGAGCCATAAATAAAAGATAAAATATATTCATTCATATAATTGGTATATATATATACATATAGAAGCTATCAAAGGCATTCACATCATGAACCTAATCTGCTGTTACTTCCTGATCACATGTATGTAAAACTCTAGACGTACAGGAAGTTGCTTTTCGCTTATGCAAATTTTCACTTTCAACCCTTAAGTTAAGAAATTGCAACAATATATCCCAAGCGGCTTTCGCACCACTCACATAATAAATAAAATGTCGAACATAATATGAGCAAAAACAACAACAACAATAACAACAACAGAATATATTCATGTCATAATTTGATACGCATCGGAAGTTTGTTGTCGTCTGCAATTAAGCAACCCCACACACACACCCACACACACACAGTGACAACTCAGTTGGGTTGGAGGTTTTTTGGCATCCTGTGAAGCGTGCTCAATCTCTGCACATCCTGTTTGTCGCAAGCTCACTTGGCAGGAAAACAAGCCGAGCAACGCCTGCTCATTATCAGTTATCTACAAATTACGCAATTCATGCCAAGGCATTCGAACCAAACTTGAACAGACACACACAGAGAGAGGAGGTCTGTGACATAGTTTCCACGCATTCAGCCAGAAGGAGGCTGTGGGGGTAGAAATCTGTGCTGGCTGTGAGAGTACAGTTGAGGACAGTTTTCGGCGCTGCTGGAAACTGGAGCAGACGACGTTCTGGCGCCAGTTTGACATGCGCAGTGCTTCAAGCCGCTGCGCAGTAGGGTACAGATTGAATGCAAGCCAATTAGATAATTGCAGGATATAGACAAATACGGACAGGCGGGCAGGGCAAGGCAACGGGAGCAGTCTCGCAAATGAATGCTCAATATGCCTCAATTAAAAGTAATTATAATTAGCAATGCACTTGGCCAGTCAATTAATGCACATTAGTGCGAAAGTTAATTAAGTTGCTTTCGGCATTAATCAATGGTTTTTATGAGCGAATGCAAATGCATTTCACACAGTGCATATTCGTCTGTGAATGAAACAAAACAAATAGCTTGGCAAATATTTCAAATGAAATAAACAGCCAAGCATTTTCCAAATACACAAAATGCATTCAAATTTCCATTCCATGCCAATCATCGAACGGCGTGAAAATCACAAAAATGCCGCCAAATTACAGCACACATAAGTGAATTCTATCTATCTGTATATACATATCTATATATGTGTCAGAAAAGTGCACAATTCTGCTGTGCATTGACCCATAAATGGGTTTGCGTGCCAGTAACAGAATCCGAGTAAAAAAGCTGTAAATTGACCAAGCCCTAAAGAATACTCGGACTCTCACTTAGCGGTGTCAAAAATGCTGTCAAATGATGTAGATAAAATAGTTGCGCAAGTTTTATGACTGTGATTTCATTCTCATTAAAATATACCACAAATTAATTGCAGCAATTATTCAATAACAAATGTCTCTCGTCTCTTCCTCTCGCTCTATCAATATTTACTTGCTTTGTCAAACACAGAAATAAATTTGCAAATATCCGAAAATTAATAAATCTTAAGTCTTGGCAGCTGTGGAAAAGAATATGCCATAAACAGCTCTTCAATCTATCAATATATGCACATATAAATATTCCAAAAAGCAATTTGTTTATGACAAAAATACATTTTTGGATAAGCAACCAGATATTTGCCCCAATGTTCTTTGCCTAGGTGTGAAAACATTTCCCACAATTTTTTTTTCTTGAGTCATTTTTACATTAAAATGTTTTTTATTTTTAAAACAATTTAAAAGAAATTGATTTCTTCTGATTGGCTAAAAGCAAAAACCGAGAAGAACACACAATGTATAATAAATCTGTAGAGCGCTTTTAGTTGAGCTATGAAAATCAATTGTTCATTCTCTTACAATTGAATTTTTTTTTTTTTTCAATTTTTTATGGTTATTTTTAAGCATGGTATAACTTTTATAAACACCGCAAAAAACTCATAAAAATTGGCCAAAAAGCAAAATGTGCATAAACAAACAAGAGAGAAACACAAGTGAAACTTTTCATTCATAGATGTAATCAAGCAAGCGGCACACCTGAGACGCGAGGCACCTGATTTAGGAACAGCGATACGACGACCTTGCTGCCGCAGATGTAATTTCACGTAGGCAGGCCCAATTGGAGCTCGCACACGAAAATGAACAACAAATTTGAATTTTATGTGTTTATGAATGCACTCAAAGAGAAGCCACGTGCAGCGTGTGACGATCGGGCAAAGGAGATCGGGACGCGTAACTCACCTCGGATATTGTAGGCGGTGGCCAGCAGGCAGAAGCCAGCAATTATGAATTTGATGGGCGCTGACATAGTTGCGGATTGGTATTGGTATTAGATTTCTGGGCGCTGGAATGCTAGCTAGCTACAAATCTCTCTACAAGGCACGTAGATGGTTTGTATCCTTTGTGTGGCTTCTCAATGCCAGGCAGGAGCTTTTTTGTATTAACCCTCTGTCTGCAGTTCAAACTGTGCGCGATGCAAACGGTTGCTCGTCCGACTAACAACTGTGTGCGGTACGGCTATGCTGCCACACACTGCCCCAGTGTACGTTTGCGTTGGCGTCGACTGCGACGGCGGCGGCGGCGTCGACTGTGGCAGCGACGTAGCTTAGTTTGTGTCTCAGCAATGATGACGTTCTCGGGGGATGCCCCATGCTGTTGCTGCTGCTGACAAAGCTGCCCATCATTGAAGAGAGCCTTGAATTTGTCAAATCAGTCTGATTCCTTGACACTAAAGACTATTTATTAGCCTTATTTTATATAAATATAAATGTATTATAAGTAAATTAATTTTTTTTAAATTAATTTTTATAGATCCTGAGTCATTTTTATTTAATGTAATTTAATTATCTTATATTTCGCTATAAATAATAATAATTAATTGTCTACTTCTTGACTTTATTTGCTCAACTAACAGCATGAAATCTTTCTTATTATGGTCACCCTAATTGTGGTGTGAAACTTGACTAAATGGACAACAACGGCAGCTTTTTAAGCTTTGCGCTTGATATGTACATAAACCGTTAGCTTGTATTACTAAAAAAAAATGAAAAAAACGTAAATATCGAATGTAAAAAAAAAATTTTCGTTGATTTGAAAAAAATATTAAAAAATTTTCGAATATAAATTGGTTGAAGTCAATAGAAAGTTTTCATTGAAAATGGTAATTTGGATTTGCCTAAATATATGTAAAGAAAAAACTTTAGTTTATATTAATGCTCTATTGGTCAAATATGTCTTAGGGATCAGTAACAGCCCAGTGAAATCAGCCCTGTCTGCCTGTCGTGTTCGTCTGTCTATTTATCTATTTGCTTTCCCGCATGTACCTCTGTTGCTTAAGAGCTAAACAATTCAATTGCAACTAGCACCTTCCACTAAGGCGCTGATCAGCTTCGTTACCAGAATCGATTTGTATATTTGATGCTTTATGCAATGATTCACTTGTTGAATGTGATTCATTTGCTGGCACGCACATAATTTGGGCAAGTTGTGCTGCAACTGTTGAGCAGTTAGTGGCCAAATTTGGCGTACGCTAATGCCACAAGTGGTAGTCGAGGCGCTGACATGGCCAGCCGATATATGATTTCATATGCAAATCTTGACATTAATCTGCAGCATTAGACGACAGTTGGCGACTCCTCCTGCACCCAAAAAGCACTTGACAAAGCGTGAAAAATGCGACTCGCTGCGCTGCACGCACGCCAAATGAGTAGCTGATCGAGAGCGACGCCATCGCCGCACTTGGAGTTGATTGGCGGAGCAAGCCGGGCCGGGCCGGGCCGGGCCGTGCCAACAACAGAGCTAAATTCAAAATATATAATGCTTGCAACAGATTAGGAGGTTAAGTTGAAGCTTAAGCCGAGGCAATAAAAAGTCAAATCACATCATAAACTTAAGCACGGCGTCAGGTTTGGATTTCTAGGCTTTTGGCTTATAAAGAACCGGCCAACCGGCCAGTTAGCCAGCCAGCCAGCCGATCGTGGATACCACTGACAGCCAGCCTGGGGCCGTTGGGGCGTATGCGTAACATTTGCAACCAGCTGAAACGTTGAACAATGTCGATTTACAATATTTAACCATGCCCCCTCAATGATAAATGGCCAGTTTTATTGCATAAACTGTACGACATTTTCGCTAGACACGTCATAAAAAACTAAAAAGAAACAAAAAAAAACATACGCACACAAACATTGCATTTATGTAAAAAATAAAAAAGAACAAGAAATCTCTAGTCGGGGTGCCCGACTAGTAGATACCCTGAGCGCAGTACCATTTGCGGCTTTTAATATTTTCCATAGCACAACGACAAATAATAACCGACATAAGGACACCAAGATTTAAGCGAACATTGCGTCCACAACGCGCATCAACTTTACCAAATAAATATATCATTCTTGAAGGGCATTAAATATAGGTATAAATATAGGTATAAATATAGGTATAAATATATGTATATGATATAGTTATATTATATAGGTATATAGTAAAATTAGGTATAATTATTAATATATTTATTATTTTATATTTTTATTATTTTCATTTTTTTTCTGACTTTTAACTATTTTTTTTTTATTTTAGACTTTTTTTCAATTTTTAAAGACAGAAATTTAAAAATATTCACAAATACCATAAATATTCATTTTATAATACACTAATAGGTTATTAAGCAACCATTTCTCAATGTTGTTTTTGGTATAATATATTTGGTATAATATATATATATTAATATTATATTCTTATATATTCTTGTTTTTAAATATAAAAATATATACAGCTATGTGTTTTTGTAAATATTTAATACATATTTGCTAAAATATAATGCTATAAACATGAAAATTAAGAGAAGAAATTCTCTACCTATGACAAACACTGAGCACACATTGCAAATAACTTAACTATACACAAAGAGATAAATAAAATAAGATGCTCTTAAATATTACTTATTTTATTGAATATATAACAATAGAATTAACAATTTTAAAGAGAACAAGGCGGCATTAGTATTTGACTCTTAGCTTAATGAGCATTACGAAAATGATCATAAAAATCATATTGCTAAAGATCATTATCGTTAATGATAATTACCAGTAATTATCATGAACATAAATAATCATTATTCTAATGATCATTATCGCTAATGAGCTTTACATGGAACTTCATTATTATAATAACAATTTGTGTTTATTAAAAATAATTAAAAGTTACTAATAGATAAACAATTTATATTCTTAACATTTTAACAATTAAATATGAAATATTTATTAACAAATAGACAATGGTTAAACAAAAAAAAACTTAAATATATACTTAAATAGTAAACAATTATTTAAACTTAAACAATTTAACAAAAAAAAACTTAAATTTATTCACCACTTTCACTGAGCTGCACTGCGACTGACCTAGTCCAGGTCACACACTTGACTGATCGCCACAGCCGCTGCTGCGCCCTTTTATACCCTAAAGTCACTCAAAAGGCAACGCCAGCAGAGCTGCTGAGCCCTTCTTGAGTGGGAATTCACACTCAATTTTAATTATGTTGGAAGCAGAAGCAAAGGCGAACAGACTGAGCAAGCTATACACACATGACTTGTCATTCTGATCGGGAATATATTTACCATGCATATATACTTCATATATATGTGAATCTAATGTGCGTTTGCTTTCTGTTGAGTGCATTTATGAATTTTTGACTCAGTTTACATAATATAAAAGACAATTCAATCAATGCCACTATATAAAAAGCTACTGATTATGCTGATCATATATATATATATATATATATATATATATATATATATATATATCTATACATACATTTCGTGTCTCTAGCTCTAATAGATGCTGAGACGCGTTCACACATACGGACAGACGGACAAGGCTAAAGCGACTCTGCTTGACGTCCAGAACAAGAATATATATACTGCTTGTTACATACATTTTAACAAATTCAGTATACCCTGATTTCCCATTTTCAATAGGTTCAGGGTATAAAAAGTAAAAAAAAAAACCAAATCTTAGCCGTGCAACAAGCTTCAATGGCCAAAACGTTTTTGCAGCTTAGTTACCACCCATTAATTTTGTTTTTTGTTTATTTATACCCTGTAACTGTTAGTTGTCCGTAAGTGGAATATCGTTAGGCTATGCAAATGTGTGTGGGTTTATCTTTAACGAAGTTTTTCATGCAAATTTCACAAATACATAATTTGGATAACAAATTTGAGCTGTAAAAAGTTAGCTAATTGATCTATTAGAAATCATTCAAATGCTTGAAATACAATTTCTGGTAATTTTTGACAAAAATTTCGATTTAATCACATTTTATACTACATTCTTCTACATTCACTTGCAGCTAATTTTAAGTCTCGGCTGGAGTGTGCTAAATAGCCACATTTTATTTTAGAAATATTAATTAAACTTTCAAGAAACTCCATTCTAGCTACAATATTACTCACTGCTTTCATATTTTAACTCCCCAGCTTCGGATATTCTGGCTGAAAACATAATGTTATAATCACAGTAAAGCTAAAATCCTGGACATGTTTCACACAAATCCGAGACTCAATTGGATTGTGTCAAATGTCAGCGAGACTATTGTGTGGTTGTCAATTATCTGAAGCAATTAGTCTTCAATGTGGGCAGTCGCAGAGCTGAGTGAACAGAGCTCATTTCCGTTCTGCAGCCGAAAGGCATTGAATGACGCATCGGAACAGAGCAGCAGCAGCTCATCGCATTTTGTTTCGCTATATCTTTTATCTTTTGTGGCTTGCACAATGTCAAGCGCAATGATGTGAGACAATTACTTTTGATTTGCCTTCGAAAATTAAATAATTTACAATTGTACGAGCTAGGCAAGGCACTTGAACTTGAGCGCGAAAATGCAACATAAGCAAATGTTTTATAGTATATAAATTATCTTACATAGAGAATTCTTAAAAAAAAGACTTAAGTGTATGGGACATATTGACTCTGATTAATGAAGTAAAAATTGTTTTATAGAATTATATATTCTTACGTATTTTATTTACAATTATATTAAAGCTAACGTAAAACTTATCTTAACTTGACATGAAATATTTTTTTCATAAATATAAAATAATAAAAATAAATAAAATAAAATAAAATACAAAACACAGTAAATATATTAGCAAAATTAAAATATAATCAGAATAAATAAATATATATAAATTTAATTATTTATTTTTTAAATTTGAATTATATTTTTAAATATTTTTTAAAATATTATAATATATATATAGCTAGACAAAAGAAAATGATTTAATTACAAAATATTCTTCTTAAGAGAAATAGATTAATTACAAATATAATTATAAATTTGATATTGAGAGTTGATATATTTATTACATTCAAATGGAATCAAAGCTCACCTCAACTTACAAACCAATTAATCCGCCACTGAGCCACTTCAATAAATAAACATTTCTTTACAGGTCACTTTTAATAGATAAAGTTAAGCAGCTTCAAAGAATTTGAACCCCAATTATTGAATTCAAATCAAGCTACAATCAATGAGATTTATTTGAGGTTGAGCTTTAAGCAGAAATCCCTTTAAATTTGCAACATCCTCATATGGATATATGCAGTGTGCTGCAAAAAATAATAAATCATGTGTACAAACCAGCGATTTCCCTTCACTTACGTTAGAAAACGAGAAAACTTTTTATATAATTTTCCTCTAATTTATGGCCAAGTAAAATTCTTCTTTTAATTTGTACCGTCTAATCAATTTATTTATAAGACACCATAAAAAAAGTGCTTCAATTACAGTTACAATAAGTAATATAATATTACAAAGGTCTATAAAAGTATATGAATGTTTGGGTGTGTGTGAGTATGTGCATGTATGTGTGTGTGTGTGTGTAATCAATTAAATGAACCAATTGGCGTGCAAAACGTTGAGTAAATGAATTTTGAACTACAAATTTATTGATTGCTTAAGATCGAGCGAAGTGAAGAAACCTTTGAATGCTCTAAGCTACATAACATTTATAAATTTATGAAATTGTATTTGTATAGTCTGCATAAATGTTAATTTTATGATTTATATATAGCGAAGTGTGACTGCCAGCTATTCAGTGCTGAGTGTTTGTGCAATTTGCATAGAACTATTTGTATTAAAAGTTGTGTGGAGACGAATTAAATTAGATTTGAAAAAAATTTGCTGTTTGATGTGTTTCTGTATTCTGCTCAAAGGAATTTGTAAGATTTAAATTCAGTTTTGCATCATTCGCATCATGCAATTAAGTGCAGTCTCCTCCCACGTCTGCTCAGTTTTCCCAGCCATTAGCTCATTTGCATAGCTGCCTCAGCGCGGCGAGCAGCGGCAGCACCAGCAGCCCCACCAGACCCGACAGTCCGCCAGCCGAGTTGCAGCCATCCGTGGTGCAAGTGCGGCAGTAAACGGTCTTGATGTAGGATGAGGTCGTGTCCATGGCGCATTTGTCTGCCGGATCATCAACATCCTCGTAGAAGCAGGAGCGCGAAATTACCCGTTTGCCATAGACTGCAATGAAACAAATGTCATAAAAAACTTTAAATATTTGCTCGACAACCATTTTAATTAATATATATATACATCTATATAGATATGTACACTGCGAGAAAATGAATGTAATTTATGGGGCACGCTGCTCTTGCGTGGGCTACGACTTTGCTTCGGTTTGACTTATCTCAAAAATGTCATTTCAAATGTCGTCCAAGTCGTCGATCAACTGCTGCTGGCTAATGGCTTCCTGCCAAATAGTCGAGCCGTGAGGTAAGTGCAGCTGATGCAATATGCCATAGGTATTTTTTTTTCATATATTAAATAGCAAACAAAAATCAAAATTCAACAATTTTTAAGCTAAATATGGGCCTCTTTAGTATACATAGCATTCATGTTTGCAGTTAACAAGATTCCGTCTTTTTGGGGTCTAAATTGTCTGCTAATATAAAAATGTATTAATTCAATAGCTTATTGAGCAGATATAACAACTATTTAATAACTTATTCAGAGTCAATGTGGGAAATTTGTTAGATATTTCGTAATGTGGCTTTACTAAACAAGAGTGTTAATAATAATTATATTTCAGCAGTGGCTTAAGTTACGTGAGCTATAGATTCTATGTCCATTTGGCTGTTGCTAAAAGTATATTTGATGCGCATTACCGCTTTGATACGCTTCACACAAATAAGAATTAAAAAGTTAAAGTATTGCCTGAGCATGGCAAACCCTTTTATGACTCTTCTCTTAGAAGAAAATAAATGGGATCTTCGGGTAAGCAAATTTAAATTTTTGTGCATGTATTTGCATGTAGAGAGCAAAGAGTAAGCAAGGAAAATTGTGTATAGTGGAACTTCCTATAAGAATCAACCATTTCTGTTGAACGCTCGAAGCACAGTGATGTTGTTCATCGAACCTAAAAGTACGTAATCCGAGCAAAGACGAAGTTGTGTGTAGCCCAATGCACACATTATATGGGTTGGTTCTATATGAGCCATCTATGCATAAAAGTAAGAGACTCCAGCTAGCTGCACCCATCTATGTGGTGTCTGTTCAGGGCTTCATATGCATATCTCTTTAAAATTTAATTTTAATGATGCTGATTTATGCGAGAAAGAACTCTGCTTTTTATAATAAGTAGAAAACACTTCAAAGTGGACTACATAAAACATTTGTGAGTTAAAACTAAGCTAGATGTTTATAGAATTATCATTTAACGAGTATTAAGTAACTATTTATTAAATATGTATTTTTCACTATACAAGCTAAGCTTCTAAGAAAACACTTGTAATCCAATTATCTGATAAGTTGAACATTGCATACTTTACCAAGTTTTTGTATAAAAATTCAAAATCTTCTTTGTAGGCTGAGTAAGGAAATAAAACTTTGGAACACAATTGCCTTGGCTAAGCTTATAAAAAAATGAAGACTTTGGCTGACTTCAAAAAGCGAACTAACTAAGAAAGCTTCAAGCTAGACGATTGCTGTCAATGTGAAAGCTACATTAAATAAAAATCAAAGATAATAAACTATATTAAAGAACTGCGGTTGTACGGCAAAGAGACCACTGGCTAAAATGGGTTCAAGGCTTGCACTGCGCAAAACGCTTGCAACCTGAGCGCAAGCGTTGGCCAGGCCACACGACTCGACGCGGCTTGGCCAGGCTAAGCTAAGCTAGGCTAGGCTAGGCTAGGCTAGGCTCAAGCGGGCAAGCAAAAACGCCAACAGAAAATGAGGCCTCCAACTATGTCTAGAGCTGGCCGCAACATACACTGCCAAAATGAACGCGAGACTCGGCGAAACGAGACAATTTGCAATCAGCGAAACGGCAAATGAAAACCAGAAAAAATGCACAACAAATTGCGTTTCACAATGCGTGAGTGTGTGTAAGTGTGCGTGTGTATGTGTGTGCGTATTTCGCAAACAGAACACAAGAAAACAACAAAAAGTCAAGAAACGATATAAAACAAAATCAACTAAAATAAATCGCAATAAAATGAAATAAAACTTTAAAAGCGACTCAAAAAGGTGCGCGTTGACCATTTTTGTGATTGGCTCCAAGAAGCAGCAGCAGCAGCAGCGTTAAGCGTGCAAGCGAGACAGAGTGCACGCGCTGCGTGTGCGTGAGTGAAAGAGCGGGAGAGTACAAGTCTCTAATAAAATTGTTGACAATTGTCGCCTTATCACGGCCGCGGCATCAAACAAGGCACACAGAATGCAGTTGCCAGCTGCAGAGACCAAAGAAAATTGAAAATTTGCGAGCGCAAAGGAAACAGAACCGAAATTGCGCATACGCCGCGTGCGCGCGCTTAAAACTCGAGTTGGCAATGTTGCATTGTGTCATAAATTTAAATTTTAATTAATTTAATTATTTATTGATCGCACTGTGTATGCTGGCAACATTTTTCACAGCAACAACATCCACAGAGCCAACGCAACGCCACGCAACGCAATTGTCCAAAAATAGGCAAAAGCACAAAGACAACTTTTCGGTGCAGCCGAAATGCAACAAGTTGCAAAATATTTACACAGTGACGCACAGTGACAACTAAAAGGCAACGCACACTCACACACACGCAGAGATACACTCAAGCTAATAGCTAATTGCTTGGCTTGACTGTTAGTTTTATGGAATTATGGAATACATTTTTAATTTGACATTTGCCAAAAGCTCAGCCAGTCGTCGGCCCAAACTTCATAAGCAATTAATTTAACGGCACATAAATTGAGCAGCAGCAGTAGCCACTACTTATACTGCGGCAGCAGCATCGCCTAGTTGCATTTTTCTCAGACTAACATTCTGCCCCAGCCTCTGTCTCTGCCTCTCTGTCTCGTCTCTGTCTCAGCATCTGCCGCTGGCTCTCTACTCCCTGCTCATTGCCGTAATTGAGCGCTTCACGCTGTGCAACAACTTAATTAATATATATATATATATATGTTATATGTATCTATTTTTTTTTGTTTGTTTTGCAGCTTAGTTTATTTCGTATATTATGTACTCGCTTAAAGCTGAGTCTTGAGCTGAGATTTGCCGTTTGCAATTTTAATTGCCCGCCGCAAATCTTTGCAAATATTCGCAGCGCCAATTTGTAGACGCTTGATTGCAAAAATTTAATGGTGTTCATTAATTGGCCATAAGAAATTTGGCCCGCTCCAAGCCAGCCACTTGATCATATGCCAAGCGATAAGATTATTTATGTGCAACAGTTTGTTTGCACTTTTTTAATTAGCGAATTATAATTCGATTACAGCCAACTCAAGTTGAAGGTGGTGGGAACTGTGTGTGCGTGTGAGAGTATGTGTCTGTGTGTGTGTGAGTATGTGTGAGTATGTGTGTGTGTGTGGTTAAAGGAAATGAGAAAATGCAGCTGTTATATTAGTAGAGAGCTGGGCCATGCAAGGCGCAAGCAGCAGTAGGCAGGCGTATGGACTCGATCATGCTAAGCCGACGCTTCTAGTTCGAGCTTATTACTTATTAGTTCTATATGCATATAATACACTTAATATTCTATATTATATATATTTACAACAGTCACAGTCACTTAAAAAGGTCACAATAAAATAAAACATTTATTTTCTTCAATTTCTTTGAACTGAGTTTTAAATATAAATATATCTGAGATTTTTACAAAATATGAAAAAAGTAAATTTTCTTTTCTGTCAATATAATTTTATATAACCTTAGCAGTAGCTATAAAGAAATATATTATAAGAAATATATTATAGCTCTACTGTTTCTTAACTAAAAGGTTCAACATTTTCCATTTCAGAGAAAATCTTGTGCTTTATGCTTTATATGTAACTGACTTATATTATATACTTTCAATATTTGCCAATTTCTGTGCCTTATTTCTGGCGCATAAATATGATAAAATTATATTCCTAACAAATACAAATATATATATGCACATAAACAATTCTCATACTATAAACTCGCTTTTATCTGCTCAACTTTGCCACAAATTTGTGTTTAAATCACATTTTTATTAGTGTAAAGATCTTTTTTAATGAGCCGCAAATGTGAATCAACTGCAATAACTAGAAATTTCAGTTTAAATCGAAAAAAATACAAATTTTTTTTATTTTATTCTCTTGGCATTTGGCCCACTTAACAAACAACAATATAAACGGAAATGAAAATGAATAACTGTCGACGCTTCTGCTGCTGCTGCTGGCATGGACAATAAAAAATCAAAATCTATTCAGAAATATCAAAGTTAGATAAAAGTGCAACGATACGCAACGTTTGGCAAATTGAGCAGCGTCGGAAAATTCAATTTCATTTTGCTGGCGCATTTTATGTGCACTTTGTGTTTGTTGTGTTTGTTGCTTTGCTGCTTGTCAAATGCAAATGCCAACAAGCAGCACAATTTGCACTCGCCGCTGGCTGAACAATAAGCGAAATAAAAAGCGAAAAGTGCCCGTGTTGCGGTCGCTGCCAAAGATCGACGACTGCAACACGAATATCACTCATACGCCGCGTGTGTTGGCGTTGGTTTGCTCCACCGCCAGCCCGCCGCGCGCTGCTCCTCGCTGGCCACATAAATTTGCCGTAAATTAGCGGCGCATGCAACTGGCATGGCCCGGCTTAGGCCAAGTGTCGCAGCCACTTGTTCAGTTGCGCTTGCCACGCCCCACCTCGATCCGCCTCTCAACGCCCGGCTGCGTCAACGCCCAGCAGCAGCAGCAGCAGCAGCAGCAGCTGCCGGCAGCTGGAGTATGCGATCGAGCAATTGTCTCGTTGCGGCTGCCTCTGTGGATTTGTATGCTGCACTTGCCTGCGACTCTGTCAGGCCAATAAATCTCAATCTTGTTTGACGCTCTGTGGCAGCCAACAACAGGCGGCAGCGACACGAGTGTGAGCCACCGGTGGGTCGCCCCACTCACCCAGCAACAATGCCCATTGACAGTCCAGCGGGCAACGAGCTAAATAATTGCCTATCTCTGATCATTGCTGAGCCGCTTGTCGTTTGTGGCTTGTGGTTTGTGGTGGTTTAGTGGTTGTGTGGTTGTGTGACTTACCTTCCTGCACCAGTTTCTTGCAGACAGGTCGCGCATTCACCGATTTGACACCCACTGAATAGGTGCAATTCACATAGCTCCAGTAACGCTGCTGCTCCGAGATGCTGTCCGATTGAAAGGGATCGTTGCAGAACTCGCCATTCGACACATCTGTGGAACAGCGCCAGCAACGTAGAACTCCAGAGGCTGAAAATATAAGCGGATTCATGTATTTAAGTGTAAGTTCACATTTTCTTTAATTTTTTCATGAATTGCAAACTGCTCACAAAAACCAAAAATAATTAAAAATATGTATACCACGAGCTAGTGAAATTAGAGAAATGAGAGAGGCAGAAGTCGTGAAAGGCTCTATAAAATATATATGTACTTCATCCAGCTATGTGTGTTTTTATTTAATATTATTATAATAATAATATTATATATTTTGCATGATAAAATACAAATATAATATAATTTTAATTAAATGAATTCAATAAATATGAAACTTTAAAATGCTAGAAGAATGATTATCCATAAGTTTATATATAAAAAAATATATATAAATATATATATATATATATATATATATATATATATATATCATAATAATATCTAATATATCTAGCTTAGTGCTAAATACATTCAATTGTAAAAATTGAGGCGCAGTCAATAAATTAAATTTAAATTTTAATTTCTATAAATAAAAATAATTAGATTTAAATTTCTTACAACTATGATCTAATAATAAATTTAAATACAATTTAAGAATGTTAATATTCCAAGGCCAGCTAGGGTAAGTATGATTCATAGGATATAAATGCGGTGCATGTCACGTAGCCAGACTAAAACGCAATTATAAGGTATCAGTAGACATTACAGAACGTAAGAGAATTTTGAATTCCATTTGAGTAGAGTAATATAGAGATACATATATGTATATGCCCTCTAGGCAGCTGAGTAATTAGACAAATTGATATTCGATTTGCATAAGGCAAATGAAACTACTAATATACTTAGAAGCTACATCTACATCGCAATAATAACAATCCATCTTTATGTGTGTATCTAGACGATACTTAGCCAAGTTTAATCATAAACTAAGTGAGTAGTTTTCGCTCTAAATTGCAATCAGGCGATGATTTTGATAGCAAAATGCATAAATAATGTGCAATGGCGGAGATGCCTGCTGCGATTTGCTAGTTGGCCCGTTGGCGGTGGCTTTTGAAAAATGTGGCTAACTGAAATTAATTAGACACGGGAGCCTTTTGGCTGAGTTATTTATGGGACAGTCGATGGGAAAACTGCCTTATAAAAGTGTCAAAACTTTCGGCATTTGGCGTTGTTTATGCGCACGATTTAGCCAAAGAGCGTGTAAATAATTATTAAACATTTTATTTGCTGGCTGAAAAGCGGCTGCTGTTCTTAAAGTGGCATTGAAGTTTCTCTGGAGAGTGGACTATGGACCGACAGCAGCGGATGTTGATGACGACAATATATATATATATATACATAAATATATATATATATTTATCTATATATATGAAACTCGTTTGTGCGTTGCCAATTTAAACGTCAAACGTTAACGTTCAGGTTAAATGCACTTAACCAACACTTTGAGGTGCGTTTAAATGAAAGCTTAGATAAACAGCAAATGGCCACGCGGGGTAGCCCCGCGGCTAGCCGGGCAGCTGGCTGGTGCTTTAGACCAGGCCAAGCTGCGCGCAGCAGCAAACGTGTTTGCTACGCTCTTCCATTGGCTTCAGCTACATTTGGCCATAAACAACGAACATAAACATTACAATTTTGCGTGTGTTTTGAATAAGGCCGAAATGCAGCGAATTGAAATAAAATCGAACTTCATTTGGTATTGCTTGGAAATTATTATCATTTACAATATATTGAAATTAATTGACAGTTGAATTGTCAGATCGTTGGCCAAATTGTTTATAGGCGTGTAGCACTGTGCGCGCAGTTGCGGTGGCAGTTTACTAATGGTAATGACTGTAATTGTATGCAACATGAAAATTGATATTGTGCGCGCGTTTATGCCAAATGTTTTGGCAGTTCCAAATAGCGACCCCAAAATGCTTACACACAAGCTAATAAGCATACATATATAAGTGTATGTGTGTGTATATGTGTGCATGTGTGTGTATGTATTGTATGCGTAAGTAGTTTTCAACCGTCGCATAAGTCAGCTGCTGCTCGATTTACACAAAGTAAATACGTTTGAAAAGTAAAAGCTGAAATAGGTATTTTCCTCTTACGAAATGAAGTTGGATAGATATGAATATAATGTCGAAGAACACAAAGCTTATATATTTATGTATGCTCAATAAAACCATGCTAATTAAATTATAAGCTACAAATACTAATAAGAGAATATATAAATATCTACATAAATATATAAAAATATATATATTTGATTAACTGAATCAAAGATAAATCAACTTTTTGCCTTAAAAAATATGTTCAAAATAAAGATAAGCAAACAAATTTTAAAATATAATTAATGCAAAATTAACTCGCAGAATTTTTAATATGATTTCATTTACTTGCAATACAAATCTTTATTGGAGAAGTTCGACTTTATATTAATTAATATTGTATTAGTATAATAATATTATTAATACTAATACAATATTATACTACTATACTATACTATATACTAATATTAAATATTAGTTTTATTATTATTTTTATTTGCCTTTCAAGAAAATATTGTTGTGCAACAAGTGAAGCTGTTGAAAAACTGGTATATTTGAGGTAAAAATAGAATATTTAATATTTATTAATATATATATAAATGCGCTTTTACTTATTATAATAAGCATAAATGAGATCGCCTTGAGGGGAAGGTCTAGCCGTTGTAATCGCTTTAGTTTACACACGTTCAAGCTGCAGTCTTATAGACCTATTGACAGCCAAGTGATTTTGATGATTTTCTAGTCGGCTTAAGCGTCCATTGCTGTATTTCCGATATTATATGACTTATATAAGAATTTATTGAAATGCACAAATTTAAATCTTATTTTATGCCTCAAATATATCGACAGATTTTGCTCATATTTAAAATCTGTTTATCTATATTTGCTTATCATGATGCTAAATATCATATCATAGTTATTAATTTTCTATTTCAAATCAATAATGAAAATATTACACTCATTAATCTGCAATTTATACTACCTTTTATACTCATCTAAAGTCTAATAAAAAGTCTTTTTTCGTTTTCCGTCTAAATCTAGAGTTTATGGAGCTGCTTAAAAAAATAAACAATTTTCAGCAAACATTTAATGCGGGCGATTAAAAACGTTGTTAATGGTCGTCATATGGCTGTCTAGTTCTCAAAATATGGAATTTAATTCCAGGAATGAGTTATTTTTATATCTCTAAGCAAACCGTATAAGATAGACACAAGACTGACATATTTATTATTTAAAAGCGAAATAATATAAGATAACTATAGAAAATTATTTTCAGCCCCTTTTTTTACTCGACAAGCTCAAGCTGTTTATATATTCCGTTAATTACAGGCAATTTTCTTGGCTTTTCACTCCAAGTCGGCAAAACTTTTGAGGCCGGCAACATAAAATGGGGCGCGGCTATGCTATTAGCCAAGTTGAATGCACTTTGAGGCACTGTAACTTTATATGCATGACTTCTGGTAGGCAATGGCATATGCAAAAGTTGGCAACAATAAACTAAAACTTGGGCCTGCGACTTTCCCATGCACGCACACAGACACATAAACACATACTGCACACATGGCAAAGTTCACATGCAATTTTTGCATTAGCTCCACTGGCTTCAATAGAAATTTACTTCGGGTTACCGCTGCGAGTTGGAGCTGGAGGGTTTTGGCGCTTCAAAGCTGCAAGAAATGTGTTGATTATCCGGCAATCTGGTAACCCCCTAAAAGAGAGAGCGGGACAGATAAAAAAAGACCCCGCCACAGCCGCTGACATGCGGTTCCATATCTTAACCATAAAATCGACAACTTACGAGTGTGGACCTAAACGTTAGAAAAAGTGAGGGAGACAGGCGGTTAGCGAAGAGACTCACATAAGCCAGTCGAGAGGGTGGAAAAAAGGGAATTTAAACGGGGGCGCAAAAGGGGTCTGCATTGACTGCAATGCAATCAAAGTTCGTTCAACTGAAATTTACAAACGACAATTGCGACAACTTGTCGAACGTTTTGAAAATTGTTTTGAATGCTTGTATGATTTGAGCTGCATTATATGGAAATAAGCTGGTATTGTAAATACTTACTGACTTTCAGCTGACATAGAAATTCAAAATATTACCATATATATGTAAGGTATATAAATAAGAGCTGTAGATTCATCAGAGAGCTAAGTATTCACACCCAAAAAGCGTGCAGCCGCCTCATTGTAAATCTAAAACACGCGCAAAAATAAAAGTAAAGCATTTTGGTATGCCAAAAACAAAGTTGAACGACGAGCAGATACCCAGCACAAAGGTGGAGAATTGCCAAAAAAAGATGTGAGCTTAGAGCTAAATGGAATTTGACATATAAAACATAAAAAAGATGTTAAACATATTATATATTTTAATATTTAAATTTCCTTTTTTATATATTTAAAGATATATAAAAATTTATTTTTATTTTTATTTTTAAATTTTTTATATTCAATATTTTAAAATTTTATGAATATTTTTTATATGATAAAAATTCAATCTAATTATGAATATTAGAGAAATATGCCAAAATAAGATATTATTTATTGCACTCGTTAACATACCCTTAGATAGTCATTTAGATTACAGGGTATACGAAAATAATAAAAAAGATTCCATTGCAATGCTAGAAAATTATTTAATGACTTACACGTCGCACATTAAAATGATGACATTTTTACATGCTCTCGGTGTTTTGGGTGTGTTTTAGTTTGGATGACTTCAGGGTTGGTTCGCATTATAATGATTGCTCAGATTGTATCTCAAGCAAATTGCAATAAGCCCCAATGCTCTGACATGCAAGTCAAATGACAAATTGTTTCGCTTACTCAGTGAATTGCCTTAATTATGCGACTACTGCATAAGCAGAGGCGCATTCATCATCTAATTATTATTACGATTTTAATTATATACTGAATTTCTGCTTTACCTTTGACTTATGACAGAATCAAATGTTTTTCGTAAAACTTTTAGGTAAATTTGCGCACAAACAATTTTTGTTTTCTGTTTTTCTAACCCGCAATTTTTCGGAACAAATTGTAAACAATTTGTAAAAACAACTTGAAAAGAGAAAAAGAAAACAAGGTTGCAAATGGAATGTGTGCCAGACTGAAACTGTCAGGGTCCACAATTTTATTGAGGTGCGTGCGCCGAGCGAAGTTGCGAGTGGACACAATAACAGCAAAATTGGCTGACAGTGCGTCCAAAACAGAAGCCCACGCCCATTAAACTAACAAAAAAGAAAGGCAACACACATCAACTTCTAATTGAAGATATGACGACATCGTGAAGTTACAAGCTTCAAAAAAAAAAGAAACGTGGGCCGAGCTAAGACCTAAAATAGGCCATGAAAATTGAGTTAGAATATTTTTGATGACAAGAAATTTTTACTCTATCTTAGCTCAAGGAAACTGCGCAGTAATTTAGTTAACAAAATATATGTATATCAAACAGGTTAGAAGCCAGAATAACAAACATTTATTTTTAAAATTTTATTTAATGAAGAAAAAAAAAACGACGCAAGAAATCGATTTAGTTAAAAGCAGTTTCTTCTGCAACAATTTATTGATTGAAATTGGAAAGTTTTTGTGGAGTTTGTGCTAGAAAGCATTGAGGACTTTGGAACTGTGCATTTTTTTGTATCTTAAGCTTAATAAACATTTCTATTCAATTTAAAACGCTCTTGAAGCAACAATTTTTATGAACTATAAAGATAATACTAATTGAGAAAATAACTAGCTGCAGATATATTTTAATATTAAATAAATGGGTTTTAACTAATTTTCGTTCACTTTTTACAATTAACTAATCAGAGATAGTACAAATTAAAGCTATAAACCAGAGTTAAAATCTCTTCTTTGTTATCTTTACAGCGCATTTTTAAATTAAAACTAATTGTAGTATAATTGCATATATATAACTATCTAAGAAATATTTATCTAAATTTATTTCAATTTACAGAAATTTTAATTTAAACTCAAGTTTTTTAATATCTCAATATATTTTTGTCTTCTTTTACTGCAGAAAAACACTTATTATCCACACTTTTCCTTGGCTCATATGTCAATCCACTTCTTAGCCCTTTTATGGTTAAGCCAATCAAAAGTGTATAAAAATAAACTTGACTCGCCCTTATACCACTTGTTTCTTTCTTAATTTTTGTGCGACAATCCATTCTCATATAGATCTGTAACAGTTTCAATTCAATTAAATTCACCCGTTTGTTGTGTACTTTAATCAATTGAAGCTGGCTAGTTTTCTATTGCAGCGCGGAAAATGGGGCGCTCTTAATTCTTTAGAGTCTAGAAAATGGCACAGCCCATAGCGTACATGCACATATATAAATATATTTGTATATATATCTATAAGTTAGCCTCATTTAATGCGCTCTATTTATGTCGTAAGAGAATTTCTTCAATCTTTTAAGGTTGTGAAAACATTTTTCCACGCAGGCAGCAGGCCGCAGGCGGCAGGCTGTCAGTATTGAATGTATAAATAAATAGCATAACCGACAAGTGCATAAATATATAAATAAATCATGAAATAATCGGCTGCAGGCACTTGAGGCAATGTTAAGTATACGCCCCAGTGACGACAGTCATTATGGAGGCTCTCTGAGATGAGTGCATCTTAACAATAGCATTGATAATGCCCGACAGCTTATCAATTGAGGTCAAAGTGGAAATTGATTGATTATCGTTAAATAATAGCGCTAATTAATGAGGGTCACATTAAGCATACGCCACGAATGAACAATAATCAATGGAATATAATAGTAAAAAATCATTTTTCTTTCATTTAAAAGATGATTCTTGATAACCGAGAGACAACTTTTCATATTTCTTATTGGTTCACTGACCCCAAGCAAACCTCGAACCACTTGACGTGCACCAAGCACACTTAATTAGCAGCCACATTCATGCAAATGCACGCACAGATTGTGAACACCCACCTGCATTCAGGCTCAGAGCGAGGGAGAGCAATCCCAACAGGAGAACGCAGGAAGCGTAGGGTGACATGGCCATAAAGGGGTTAACAACTTGTTGAGGGTTTCTTATTTGAACTGTTGAGCGATATTTTCTTGAAGCTTTATATATATATATATTCGCCACACACACACACAAATTCACTATATTCACTGCTTTAGTATGCTAATTATTTCGTTAGATTTCAAACAATTCCGAATATCTCGCTAGAGCACGGCGAACGCATGCGACGCGTTGACAAACTGAAAGCGAACTGAATCGAAACTGAATACGAAAAAGCGCCACAAGTCGCAGGCAACAGAAACCAACGGGCAACGGGCAAAGTGAACCAATAACAAAACGAACGAGCTCGATGCTGCACGGTCGACTATGAGCTGGAAAGAGAAAGAGCGATTCGTTCAATGAGCTTCGTTTCAATCGTACAGCAGATTGAACGACACATTGAAAGCGCAGTTAACTTGTGTGTCTGTGTTTATGTGTGTGTTTGTGTGAGTGCGAGAGAGAGACGCAGCTACGCAGGGAGAACAGTTGAAGTGTCGCTAGATTTTATATTGAAGTTCGTTATTTGTATGGGTTCGGGTTGGGAGCTGGTTAAGCACTCGTCTATGGCTCGCACTTCTAATGGCTGCCACCACAAAGTAAACACTTGCAGTTTCAAATGCCGCACAGTGGGCACACAACTATGAAAACCATATCATATTTATTTCTCTAACCAGAAGTAATTACTATCTATATCTATATCTATATCTATATCTATATCTATATCTATATCTATATCTATATCTATATCTATATCTATATCTATATCGAGATCTATAGCTAGATCGAGAGCGAGAGCGATAGCGAGAGCGAGAGCTAGAGCTAGAGCTAGATCGATAGCTATATCTATAGCTAGATATCTATATCTATATCTATATCTATATCTATATCTATATCTATATCTATATCTATATCTATATCTATATCTATATCTATATCTATATCTATATCTATATCTATATCTATATCTATATCTATATCGATATCTATATCTATATCTATATCTATATCTATATCTATATCTATATCTATATCTATATCTATATCTATATTTATATCTATATCTATATCTATATCTATATCTATATCTATATCTATATCTATATCTATATCTATATCTATATCTATATCTATATCTATATCTATATCTATATCTATATCTATATCTATATCTATATCTATATCTATATCTATATCTAATCTATATCTATATCTATATCTATATCTATATCTATATCTATATCTATATCTATATCTATATCTATATCTATATCTATATCTATATCTATATCTATATCTATATCTATATCTATATCTATATCTATATCTATATCTATATCTATATCTATATCTATATCTATATCTATATCTATATCTATATCTATATCTATATCTATATCTATTCTATATCTGCAAATTACTGTACTCACTTTTGTCATCATTCGTCCCACTGTGCGTTTAGCCATTGCGTTTTCTTGCGCCATTGACGCTTAATGACAGTCGCACTCTGTCCGCTTGTCGCCTGCCAGTTTGTCGGTTTGTCATTCTGTCGCCAAGTTGCAATTGAATGCTAACTGCAAGTCCGTCCTCAACACCATCTAATCAAGCGCGGATTTTGATAAGGAAATGCAACGTTGGCACTTTGATGCTTGGGCTGCTTGGACTCAACTTCGCGCTGGAGAGGATGCCACCTCAGACAATCTCTGCTTCAATTTGTTGCAAACATTTTATGTGTTTTCTATGGCGTTGAGGTTTGTCTTTTATTGTTTTTGCTTTTTTATGTTCTTGCAACGGGAACTTTATGTGCTGAGAGTACTTCAACTAGTTATTCGTGACTCGGAGTACATTGACTTATAAGTTATATGACGCTGCTTAATATCTTTAGCTTGACATTAAATCCATTAGGCCATAGCAATAGTAAAAGGCAGCTAGGCACGTGCCATCTGGCTAATGCTTCCAATGAAAAGGAGCATTAAAAAACAACAAAATATTAAAAGATTATGAGAAAATATTTTCAAATAAAAATAATTTATGGCAAAAAGAATTCTTTCACATAAACAAGTTTTTCGAGATTTTCCAAATATTTTCTTAGTCAATTTTAAATTTTGAAAACAACATAAAGAATTTAGAAAACATTTAATGACAAAATATACTGAATATATATATATATATATATATATATATATATATATATATATATATGTATACAATATTTATATTTAGCTGTTTTATATATAGAGAAAGTATTTGTATATATAGCAAAGCTTTTGTTGTTTGTCTACTTTAGTTCAATGGACAACAAAATTACTGTTAAACACCCAACAACTTGACTAAATCCAGCCGAGAGTGGTAAATGGGCTTATCGAAAAAGACCACAACAGAAATATTTGTACATGGAATCCATCAAATTAGCTGAAAGGTTCAGTGAACACGCCCCAAATCGTTCGATATGCGCCTCGACACTGTGACAAGGCAGAAAAACAAAATTATTCACAAGACAAAGAAATGCTGTTCTTAGATGGGCATAGACCGATATCTACTGGAAGTCGGGAACGGTGGGGTATGAGGGGCTATGCGTAAGGTGCTTAGCAGGACAACGAGCCATCGTTAGTTGTCCTTTGGTAATTTCCCAATGCCAAACACCAAATTCCAATGGCTGTCCATGTGACAGCTGCATACAAATTAGAAAATAATTATGGACTGACGATTATTTATATGCTTGGCGGTTCTACGAACTCGATTGGGTCAATATTCTGGGCTTCAATTCTCGCTTGATGTTGCCCATATCGCAGAGCTAATTAAACGGAATATGCTTAATTACCAAGTCATAAAGGGTAGCTTAGATTAGACCCTAGAAGCCTTTCGTTTCGAAACTTCGTCAAGTTTTTCAATGACAAGCAGCACTCCCCTTTGACTGCAATTAACTTTGAGGCTTGTTACGCTAGCTCATGTAAATAATAAACCTTAGTTAATTATAGAGCTTTATAACTTAGCTCAAATCTCAGCTAAACCAGTTGAGTCGCGTTGTAAACTTACTTATCTATCAGAATAAAACTAACCACAGCGGAAATGGAGCTTATTAAAATAAAAAAAAACAACAGACAATTAGAATAATTAAGAAATTAAAAAACTTTGATGAAGATCTTAAAAAATGATGTCACGCTGGGGCGACAATACTTAATGTAATATAATTGTTAAACATTGTTTATACTCGGTGCTTAAACATTAAACATTAAGTTCGTACTTAAATCGGATCAGTTACGAGCAGCAAAAATGACTTTGGCATATAACTAGTTGAGCCAATGGCAACAAATGTTCTAGATATCTGGAGCTTGGATGCACTGCGAGTGTTGCTTCAGCCAGTAAGGGTCTTGGAGCTGAAGTTTATCCAAGCTTAAGTTGTCATCGAATGACTTAAAGCAAAGTTTACACTTCTGTTCAGAAGATTTCTAGCCAAAGAAATTAAGTTCTTAGAAATCTATTGCAGCATGCCTGATTAACAATAGTAAAATAATATTAAATAGTTGATAAATCTTAAAAAAAAAGTCAAAATTGTATTCAATAACTGCATTTTCTATAAATCAACAGCTCTGAGTAAGAGTTTTGTTAGGTTAAAGGCCTTTCCTAAGGAAGCTGCTTCAGTTATACTTCATTAAATTGGTATTTAAGTTTAGGCAGTCACATCATATATTAGTCCCTTCTCTAAAGCCTGTCAGCCACACGGAACACATAGACAAATATATACACATATTTCCTTTAGACTCTCGAAAACACCCACCTCTATGCATTTTACTTTACACCTTTAAAAACCACTTTTCATATCAATATTAAGAGATTAGTCATTATCGGAACCACTTGCTTAGCCAATACACAAACCTTCGCTTGCCTATCATTTGCAGCCCTGCGAAGCCTGAAAGCTAGAACAGCAACTAAAAACAATTTCCATGGCAACATACACAAACAAACCAGAAATAAAAATAGTTTCTATGAAAGAAGCCAAGCAAATTAATTGAAAATAAAAATAATGAAACTGAAAACGCGCATTTGCAAAAGAAGCTCAGCTACAACATCGGAAGCCCCGCAGGAGCGCAGCAAACAATTTACGAGCTATCCGCTGCGATGTGTGGATTGGAGCAGCAATGAGGAGATCTATTTTGTCAGGTAAGTGGCAGTGGAAGTGTGGAAAGTATCTTAAGTACTTAGAAAGTATCTCGAACAAATGTTAACAGCGACGATCATCAGATCTACAAATGGAGCGATGTGAGTCGCGATTCTGTGGAGGTGGCCAAACTGCCGGATGACTTCATACCCACGGATATGCACTGGCTGCTGTTGGGTGGTCGCAGCAGTGGCGGCGGCAAGGGCAGCGATACGCTTCTCATTTGCAGCAACGATGGACGTTTCATTATATTGAATAAGAGCGCGCGGGTCGAGCGCAGCATTTCCGCCCACACGGCGGCAATTAGCTCGGGTCGCTGGAGTCCCGATGGCGCTGGCCTCTTGACCGCAGCAGAGGATGGTGTCATCAAGATCTGGTCCCGCTCTGGCATGCTGCGCTCCACGGTCATACAAAGCGACGAGGCGATCCGCTGTGCCCGCTGGGCGCCCAGCTCGACGGCAATTGCTTTCAGCCAGGGTGGCCACATTTCCATCAAGCCGCTGGCAGCCAATAGCAAACTGATAAGGGTGAGTTAGCTAGGGTAGTTATTGGTGACCATGTGATACAGGATTGGAGTTCTAGAAGCCATTTGTGCGCATAAATGTTGAGGCAATCAGGTTTGCCTGTGCATAGCATTTATTTCTAGAATTTGTATTATATATATTTTATATATATTCCCTAAATTGATACATATCGATTTTCAGTTCCATTAATATCGATTCTTCTTAGCGTTTCCAAGAGACAGAATATATTGTTATGCTCATCTGGGTATATAAGATATTCAAAATATAAATATTTCTGCGAAGCTTAATAAATATCGATTTCTAAGCTTATTATTTAGACATTCCTCGAGCATATAGTGACTTGCCCTTGGTTTGTTCTTTGGAATCTCTGCTTTATATCATTCTTCAAACAAATGTTATACAAGAATTTATTTTAAATCGAATAAATCTCTAATATATATATAAAAGTATAAAGAATCGATAAATATCGATAGTCAAACGAGTTGCAAGGATACTTACGCAGCTTCCAAAATGAGCCCAGATATTGTTGAGCAAGCGAGCAATATGCTCAGGCTCATAATATATACATCAAATACCTGAATATATAGCTATATATAGTATAGATGGGCGATGACAACTCTGACCAGAATCTCATTATATTTCAAATCCCCTTGTTAAAGAAGAATACATGCATAAACTACATAACCACGACAATGCTCTAGCACTAAGCCTACTGGATGACTCAAGCAAAAGATTACATGTCCTAGACCTACCCCACAGAAATAGATAAATATGTAAAGTAGTTAAATATATGGATTGATCTCATTGGAGCCCAAGCCATCCGATTGCTTAATATTATTTTTAACAAATTTGTTTATTGTCTAGTATAAATAAAAAAAAAATGTTTCAAATCTAAACTTTCAATTAGTTAATTTTTAGATAATAAAACAGAGTTCTATACTTTAATTGTCCATTGCAGTGGCGCGCCCATGACGGCCTGGTGCTGTCGCTGAGCTGGTCTGGGCAATCGAATATTATAGCCTCTGGCGGGGAGGACTGTCGCTTTAAGATTTGGGATGCGCAGGGCGCCAGTCTGTATACGAGTGCGGCTGAGGAGTATGCCATCACGAGCGTGGCCTTCAATCCGGAGAAGGAGCAGCTGCTGGTGGGCACCTTCAACATGATCAAGCTGTGCCACAGCACGGGCGTAAGTGACGCAGTCGAGTGGGCACATGCCTAAAAACTATCTGAACTAACTCTGCCTTGCAGTGGTCCTATAGCAGTGCACGCTTTACGGCGCCTAGCGTGGGCTCGTTCTTCACATTGTCCTGGTCAACGGATGGCACTCAGGTGGCCTGTGGCACCTCCACTGGGCAGCTGATCGTCGGCTATGCCGTGGAGCAGCAGCTCATCTCGCGCAACTTGAAAGCAACGAGCACGGGTCGCAAATGCATTGCTTTGCAGGACATTTCCAATGGCACCAAGGATGTGCTGGAGTTTCCACAGCGCGTCATCAACTTTGCGCTGGGCTATGGCCACTTGGTGGTGGCCACCACCCATCAGCTGCACATCTACAACGAGAAGTACATCAACACCCCAATCATCATTGATGGCCGCAACGATGTGCGCGTCATTGAAGTGGCCAAAAAGTGAGATCAAAGTTGCACTGCGATTGGTAGGCTCTGAACATGCTGCACTTTTAGGTACTTCATGGTGCTGGATGCCACCTCCATTTGGGTTTACACATACACAGGTCGTCTGCATCTCAATCCTCGCTACCCGGGCTCGCAGGCGCAGCTGCCGCTGCTCAATTGGCGCTCCATTTCACTGGGCCTCGACGTGCTGGCTATAAGAGACAATTCGGAGACTTCGCTGCTGCATCTTTTTGACCTGATGCCTGGTGCCTCACGGCAATATGAGCCGCAGTCGCTGAGAGCCAAGCAGCAGCTGGCAGAGATCGCTGCCTGTCGTGCCGGCAGTGCGGACGACCAGTTCATTGCCTTCATTGATACCAATCGAGAGCTGTACATTAGCGAGACGCGGAACATTAACGGCAACTCGACAACTGATCGCGTGGTCAATGGCGCCGATGAGATCTACAAGATCGGCACCCAGTTGACAGCCATCAAGTGGGCCAGCGAGACGAACATCTTGGTGGGCGTGCACGATTCCTGCTACAGCATCTGGTACTGTCCCGGCGAGGGCTCTGCCGATCCCACAATCATTGCCCTGACCACCATTACCCTAGACACGGCGTAAGTTCGATATGCCCCATCTTCTTGCCTCCTCCTCAAATCCCATCTTCTGGAAACCCTTTCTCCTACCTTTCAGTGAATTTGGCAAATACGTGGCCATCGATAGCTTCGAAGATGCCGTGATTACCTTTCGCTGCGCTGGCGCTCTGCTGCCTGTCAACGTGAATATCTACTGCGAGGTTCTGCATCGCACGCTGCAGGAGGGACAGTGGCAGCAGGCACTGCGAATCTGTCGGCTGGCGCAGCATACGAGTCTGTGGGCCACGCTGGCTGCTGTGGCCACCCGCAAGCATCAGCTGCAGCTCAGCGAGGAGGCCTACTCGGCAGCTCTGCAGATCGATAAAGTCAGCTATCTGCAGCACCTGAAGACGCTGTCGCCATCCAGTGCTGAGCAAATGGCCGAGAACTCGCTCATGCTGGGCAGGCTGCTCGAAGCGGAGACCATACTGCTGCACAATCGCAAATATGAGCAGGCCGTAGCGCTGGCACTGCGCATGCACAGCTGGAAACGTGCACTCGAAATAGCGCTGAAGCACCAAGCGGAGCAGCCCGACCTGGAGCTCGTGCAGCGCGTGCTGCAGCAGCGACAGCGCTATCTGAAAGCCTTGCAGCGCGAAGAGTGGGATGCACTGTTTCTCAGTCAGCTCAAGGATGATAATGCTAGTGAATAAAGCTATTGATTGATTGCTTAAGACTATTGATTTTATTGCTTTGACTAAGTTCTTGTTGCATGGTTTGCTGAAGGATAATGAAGGATAATTTTAGCGAGTTTGCTTGTTGCAGATAAATCAGTTGTTTGGCCTGGGCTGCTTCTTCTTATATACATTTTTTTGAACCTTCCCTATCAAATCCATTCTCAGAATAGACTCCCTTATTATATGCAACAATTACAATTGTCAGCAATTTGACTCCCATTTATACACAACTCTAATATCCATCAATAGTCCTGCCGTTCAATACGCTGGGCTGAGCATGGGCTTATCCTCGATGGCATTTATAATATTATTCGCTGCCAGTAGGCTCATTTCAATGGTCGTCTTCATGGTCTGCGTGCCCAGGTGGGGTAGCACCACTGCAAGCGAAACGCTATTAAAACATATTTCAAATGGATCAACTTCATTGAAAACGCACCACAATTGGGCAGCTTTAGAATGGGACTGTCTGCTGGCAAGGGCTCTGGCGTGGTTACGTCTAGACCCGCCGCAAAGAGTTTCCCACTGCTCAAAGCCTCATGCAAGTCAGCCTGATTCACCAGACCTGCAATCAATGATATATCAAATCATAAATATATATTATATCATATATAGCTGCTACGCACCGCCTCTGGCCACGTTGACGAACACTGCGCTGCCTTTCATTTGCGCAAAGGCCTTCGAATTGAATTTTTCACGCGTTTCGCTGGTGAGTGGTGCAGCAACCACCAGGAAATCACTCTCCTGCAGCAGACGCTCGAAGGGCACATGCTCTGCCTTGTAGTCGACATCGTTTTCCTTGCGGTTGCGTGTCGTATAGAGTATCTTGGCCACATCCCAGCATTGTAAGCGCTTGGCTATGGCCTGGCTAATGCCGCCAAAACCAAAGAAACCAATAACTGAATCACGAATCTCCACGCCCATTCGCCAGTCAATGTGCTCCGTTACCCACTGAGAGCTACAAGAAAGGGAATTCAATGTCCGTTATAAGCTTTTCCTATTTGAATATAACATCTATCTATATGCTCGAATAATAACGGTTATTTCCGATCTGTATTCAAAAGTTCAAGTCAAGTTGGCAGACCGCTAAAAGCTTAAAAGCTCTCCGAACAGCTGCTACTCACGTCTCAATATCTGTGCGGCCGGCATGAAAGTGTCGACCGGCTGCAATCATGAGGCCAATCGCCAGATCTGCCACCGAATTCTTCACCACGCCTGGCGTATGCCCCAATGGAATCTTGCGACGCTTGAATTCCTCCACATCCGCAAAGTCAATGCCCGAGGACATGGTGCTAACGGCACGCAACTGTGGCCCGGCTGCATCGAGTATGACAGCATTCAGCGGCTGATAGTGCGCCCACAAAATGGCATCCACGCCACCCACCTTCTCCAGTATCTCATCGCGGCTGGGTGGCACGCTTTTGCAGATGATTGTCTCAGCACCGCGCGAGCAGAGCAACTGCAATGCCGGCGCCGGCACCTGTGGATGCGAGATGAGCACTTTGAACGCTCGCGAAACGCTCATTGTGCACCGATACGCTCGGAATTTAGCGAAAAACTAATGCGACGCGAACTAATGCTTAAAGCAGTGCTTAAGCTTTTTGTTGCCTCAAGCTCTTATTAGCTTCCACCTTACTTGCTTCCCTGCACCTCTTTCTCTTTCTCTTTCTCTTTCAGACTTCTGCTCGAAATGCTTGAAGTTCAGCCAAAATCGAATGCAAGACATATAAAGCTTTCAAAGCTCTCGCTCGAATTCCATTCCGCCTGTTGCTCTTTCTTTTACGCTCTTTACTCTTGCTCTTATTCCATTTAGCTTCTTGTCTCACTCACTCTTGCTCATGCTGCTGTTTAGCTTCCTGAATCTGATTAGACAGGTAATTCAAATAGAGCCTTGATTACCCATACAGTATCAGTTTTGAAGTGTTTTAGAAAGAGCATTCCGCTATTAACAAGATTCGAATTACTCTCTCCTCCAATCAGACTCTTCTCTTCCAGGCTGATTCCAGAAAGTTCTTTGAATGAACAAATAGGGAAAACTTAAGATTGTAATAGTAGAACTTTTATAAAAATTTGTTTTTTTAATTCATAATTATTCACACAATTGTTTGTTAAAAATTAGCATAGGAATACCCTTTGTAGACTATCAAGGCTTTTCACATAGTTTTTCCAAAGTTTTCCCATAGCTTTCCTAGTAAGCCGGCGAGAGCATGCGCTCACCGGCCAAGCCGCGCAGCACATTGTGAGCGGCGATGGTGGCCATGTCGGAGCGCGTGCGATTGGTGGCGGATCCAATGTGGGGCAGAATAACTGTAAAACAGAAGTGAAGCGGTTGACCTTGAGATACAATAACAAGATACAGCTGCAGCTGCATAAAGATACTATAAAAAGAGAAGTGTGAACAAGCCAAAACTAGCTTGGTTCAGCTCTGAGATTGTGGAGGTTCACAAAGGGTCAAATTCATGTAATTAGCAGAGTTATCTGAAGATAAATATACTGAAATTATCTAAAGATAATTGTGCACAGCGAGGCTAACTAAAAGTGCTTGGCCTAAGCTTTGCTATGTATTTCAGTGGAACCTTGCTACAATGGACAATCATTTTGTCACTCTAGACACTTTAGACTGTATCTATGCCTATCAGACTAGCTGATAAGCTATGTCACCTGCGACAACTTATCATCGATCTACATGCATTTTAGTAGAACCAAATTTGTCTGTAAGGAATATCTCTCTAGGCTCCCAATATTCTAGTTTTACACTAAAATGAAAACGTTATAGGCATATACTTTTGCCTACTCTAAGCAACAAAATAAACAACAAGCTTTTATAAAGATAACCCAAATTGTTTATAGATGACCTAAAAAGAACCTTGGCCATCAAAATTGAAACTAAACCCAAAACAAAACTCTCTAAAAAAACCAACAAAAAAACAGAAAAATGCAGATAAGAGTTAAGTAAGCGATAAGAGAGCTGACTAAAGAGAATATATATATATATAAATATAATTATATATATATATATATATATATAGTAGGTATAGCATATAGCTTATATATCATTCATTCACTTACTGATATTGTCGAGGGTAAGCAGCTTGCTAGTGGGTGGCAGTGATTCGGGATCGACGACATCGAGGCCCGCGGCAAAGATGCGATTCGACTTGAGCGCATCGTACAGATCATTCTGATTGACGATCTCTGTTTGGGGAAGAGTTGATGAGTCATATGAATTGCGCCTGGTTAGACTGAGACTTACTGCCGCGTGCAATGTTGATCAAGACGGCGGTTTTCTGCATCTTGTTGAAGGCGGTGGCATTGAAGACGCCCTGAGTGGCAGCTGTGAGTGGTGCGGCGATGACCAGGAAGTCGCTCTTGGCCAGCAGCTCGTCGAACTCGACCTTCTTGGCGTTGAGCTCCTTCTCGATGTCCTTGGCGACGCGACGCCGTGTGGTGTAGAGCACCTGGTCGATGTCAAAGCCGGACAGACGCTTGGCAATGGCCTGGCCAATGCCGCCGAAGCCGTAGAAGCCAACCACTGAGTCGCGCACATCCTGACCCAGCATCCAGTTCAGATGATAGTTCTCCCACTTGTCACTATAACCAGGCAGAAATAAGTCAAGATTCTGAATGTCTCGTTTCCAACTCACGTTTCGATCTTCTTGCGTCCCTCGTGGAAGCGACGACCTGCTGCTATGAGCAGGCCCACCGCCAGATCCGCCACAGCGTTGTCCAGCACGGTGGGCGTGTGACCCAGCGGGATCTTGCGACGCTTCACCTCGTCCAGATCGACGTAGTCAATGCCAGCCGACATGGTTGAAATGGACTTCAACTGGGGTCCAGCTGCATCCAAGGCCTCGGCATTGAGCGCTTCGTGTCCGCCCCACAGGATGCCATCGACTCCTCTGATCTTCTGCAACAGCTCGGCGCGATTGGTCGGCACACTCTCCACACGCACCAGTTCGCAGTTTTCCTTGAGCAGGTCAATGCCCGATTGGGGCACCTCTGGATGCGTGATCAATACTTTGAATGGCTTCGCGGACATTGTCTTGTTCTTGGCTCTGCGCAAAAGGGACGCATGACAAGGTGTTAGCAAAACAACAGCAAAAACAAACGCCAGCAAGGGCAACGCTTTAAATTTCAATGCCATACTGCTCAAAGCGACGTTTGGCAAGTCACTGAGCTGAGCCGGTTACCCACCCCGACTTAAGTAGCGACTGCCTCTTGGAAAGCAGCGCAGGCCCCTGGAAGCCGCGGCTCCCTTTGCCAATGAGAGGCGATAAACTTATGAACCTGTTTAGCATTCTAAGCGAGCTCGGTTTCGATCTCTATAGGTGTATGTGTGTGAGTGAGCGCGCTCTAGCGTTTACAGCAAATACCGGTTTTCAGGAGAGCGAGAGAGAGTATTTTAAAAGAGCAGAGAAAGCACTGATTCTAATTAGAATTGCTGAGCACAGGAATTGGTCATGAGTGCAGGAAACAATTACTAACTGGAATCAAGGCACACATAGATCAAGTTACTTTAAAAGTAAATGCTAAGAGATTTATTGAGTAAGAGAGAACTATAGAGTTGGTATTTATTATCATGACAGCTTATCAATAAGTAAAGGAGCTTTGCTTGATTTAATTTGATAAAAAGGTAAAAGAAAAATTATCAATGTTATATAGATTTAATAAAAAATATAAATATTTGATATGGAAAAATAATATTATATTTCAAATATATATTTTATATATTATTATATTAAATTTCACAATGAGTGAATTATATTAAATTATTATATTAAATTTCACAATGAGTGAAATTTGTCACGGAACAAAAACACAATTAACACTGTGAAGGTCGTGGAACAAGTAAAAACCACTCATTATCTCTCACTACTCCCTCTCTTTTGTTATTGTTGGATCGCTAAGAGCAAATCACTAAGCAAAAAAATATAATTAGAAACAAATAACTGAACTGTTGCTTTCTGTATTTCCAACTGAAATGTCAATGAAGCTTATGGCGAAGCTTGTCGAAAGCTTCCGTCTTACTCTCCCTCTCTCTCTTCCTTCGTCTGTCTTTCATTCCACTTACCCACTATCACTCTTCTGGCTATTGGAAAACTTAACAGCTGCGCGTTCGCCGGTCGACTGAATGGAAACGCAATCGACGGCTAGCTTTTTATACAGTTACTAACTTTGCGCAAAGTTATTAATTGCTGATAAACGTTTTTCTATCTTTTTTCGGTGAGCAATCGCCAAACAAAAATGGCCTGTGATTAAGTTGTATTGAATGCGTTCAAAGCAGTTGGAACTCTGATTATCTTTTCAGCGATCGGCTAAGACAACAGCACTTTACTTTCAGCCGTCCCTCGCTCTTCCACTTTTGTTTATCTCGCTCAGTCAATGCAATGCATTTTGTTGCTCTTTTGCTTATCTGCGCACTGCTTCTTATCTGAATATTCTGTCTCTTTCGCTCTGTGAGATTGAGTGAACTCTTTAGCTGGCCAGCTGCTGGAACGAGCTGCGCGCCTGCTCAAAATACCAGTTGGGGATTTTTCCCATGTCATTTGTGGCGCTCGCATGCTAGCCAATTTCCAATTGGAATGGGACAGCTATCCCCAGCTTTAATGGAGTCGAGTCGAGTCGCTATTGGAACGCCAGGTTGTGAAACCTACTCACAAAGGCCTCGAACACCACATTCACATAGCTTTTTTTGTGAGCGGATCTGCTCAAATTTTGTCCGCATAGAAGCAGGCGCTCAGCGCTGCATAGCTGCTCTCCAACGCGCGCCGCACTCTCCAAACCCATCTATCTGTGTGAAAGCAGCAAAGAAACAGCAGATGGCGTTGGCGTTCGCGTTGACTTTCCCTCTGTCTCTTCCTCTGCGTTGGCGTTGGTGGTTGTCGTCGTTTTTGCAGTGTTTCTTCTGCGTTTCTGCAGGGCTATACCCAAATGCACTTAATTATACCCTGCATAGCTTAAATGCAATGGGGTGGTCACCTTTCAAAAAAAAAAAAAACAAAAAATAATTATAACATATTTCCTTTTTTGAATACAAATAAAAATACATTTTATTTATTATACTTTTAGGCTGAAAATAAAATTTAAAAATCCACACATACACACACATAGAGGGTATCTGAATGTCATACTTTTCATTCGACTTGTTGCCACTGCAATTAAATTTGTGACGCACAGATTTTGACTGGGCAACTGGGAGACTGAGCAGCTTGCTCTGCGCTTTGGAGAGTTTGCAGTCGCGACTGCACTTTGCCTAATTGCGCAAAGGTTATTGGCCCAGAGTTGCCAGAGTTTGGTTCCAAAGTGCGAGGGTGGCTCGATGTGGGCGCCAAACGTCGTCTCGCGCGCGCTTTTTCTGTGGCTGCGTCGCTGCTTGCGCTTTGTTCTTTTGTTTTGTGGTGATTTTCTTCTGTGGCAACGGCGGCGGCGACGGCGGCTCTCGCTCCAGCTCCGTTGGCGTCTGCTGGCTTTTATGCTTCCCTGTTACCAAAACACGATGCGTCATTTTGACTGACGTAACCAGGAGACAGCTGTCTATCAGATGCGACCGTCGTGCCGTCGACGACGTTGGCGACGTTGCTTGTCGGTTACCGTTACGCCCGCTGCCGATGGCAATGCCAGCGCTCGCTGCGGTTTGGCGAACAAGTGCCCAGCAATCAATAGATAGTAAAAAGCAGTCGACATAAAAGATGAGCAACGCACATACATACACGTACATACGCACACAGAAGCACACATACACGCTGGCATGCACAGTTACGCGCGCTATCGTAAAGTTACAGTTGTAGACGACGGCGAAAAGCTCCGCTGATTAAGTGACATGGCAGCCCCTTCGCCCCATTCACCCCATTCGCCCCACACCCATGCCAACTGTTTGATCACGCCGCTGCTTAACTAACGGCACTTGTCAAGGACAGTGACAGCCGCCGTAGGTGCTGCTGAATGGGTGGCAGCATCCAGCAGCAGTCGCATTCTGTTTGCTTCATAACCAGCTACAGCGCAGTCGAAATCAAAAATGGTGGCCAAGCTGCAAGCTACAAAGCTGCAAAAGCAGCGCCCACTCGCCGCCATCGAAATGAATTCGCCCTGCGCAGGCGCCAAAAGACGAAGCGGCGCCTAGAGCCTCAAATGGGCCACTGCCAAGCTCCAAAAGAAAAAATCCAATACCAACAACAAAAAACGGTTAATTTTTATGTGTGTTGCGAAAGGTCGGTCGCCTAAACAAAGCACGAAAAAAATGTGACGCGCAGCATTGAGGCAGGTCCCTCTACGCGATACGAGCGAACAGGCGCGCACGCAGCAGCAGCAAGCGACAACGCGATGGTCGGCCAGTTGCTAGCTGAGCTGAGTAAGCAAAAGCTATTTTATGTGCGTTTGCATGTGTGTGTGTGAGCGGAGACGTTGCCAACGCAAGCGGGCGCCTACGTCACAGCAGCACATGAGCAGACAATAGCTAACGCAACGAGAGAGAGAGAGTGAGAGAGAGGGAGTGCGCGCACGTTTATTTTTGTTTACTTGCTGAGAGTGAGAGAGCGCGCGTGGGAGTACTGGCGATGTTTTAATTGAGTATGTGTATGTCTGTGTGTGTGAGTAAACGCTTATGTGCACTTTGTTTGAGTTTGCTGAAACTGTGCTTAAATTACCGTTGCATGTTGTTAACATTAACTGACAGCAGGCACAAGTCGTAATTGACATGTCTCTCCACTTGTACAGCTAGCTTTTGTTCGTCATTGAATGGGAGAGTTATACAGAGAGAAGGAGAGGATGGGAGAGCTGTCTGAGTAGGACACACATTGTCTTTGTATAATTAAGCACAGGGTGCTTGTTGTGCCTTATAGAGTTCCACATCAACGGTTAGTTTTATTGGAATTAATTTATTCACAAACAATTTAAGCCGCATTGCTGCAGTGTAGCTGTCGCCATGTCAATTTCAAATCTGATACATATTTGCGTCGATTGTCGATGAAGATGCACTTGATCCGTTCGCTTCCTGCCCAGGTGAACTGATACCTGCAATACTTGTCGCACTGGCCGCAACGGCCACAACGCGATACGGATAGGCACGTGATCGATCCATTGCTTGCGATTGCCGCACCGACACGTCCTCCGTCCTCTCCGAATGGGAACCCACCAGCATGGGCTCGAAGAGATGATGGAATAGATTATACGACTGGGCGCTGACATTCCTATTGGGCGAGGCGGGCCGCTCCGGCGACAAGGGCTGGGGCTGCACAGGACATATATATATATATCGATTAGATTACTCTCAAGGATCTCTACCTGCAACAGCGTGGTATACATCTGATCGGCATAGGTAAGCAAAAGTCGAAGACCTTGGAATCCCTCTTCCCGTTCGGGGTGTTGACGCAGCTCTTGGGCAGCCGCATTGGTCATCCGGGTCAGGATCTGGACCACCGTCGAGAGGCTGCTAACCAGGCACATCACATCATTATTCACATCCACGGCCTGTGGCAGCATAAACCACTCGGGCACATGGCCGGCGATATTGGCGCTGCTGCTATTATTAACACTTACGCCACCGCCACCACCACCAACACCACCACCATTATTATGACTGATACTTATACCGTTACTTACACTGATGCTGTTGGGGATGGTGGCGGTGCTGGCAGTCGAGAGACGCATTTGACGTGGCTCCACAATAACAATGGCTGTGGGGGGCGCCTAATGGCAATTAAGCTAGGCAATATCTAAAATAGTACTCTTAGCTGGAGTTACCTGCTCATTATCGCCGTCGCCAGCATTCCCGAAATCCGGCATTGACCAGTCCCCAATGGAATCGGGTGCCAACAGTTCGGCACCGCTGCCTTGCTTGCTGCACCACATAAATGGAACTTGATTTTCAAATACTTTAGATTTTAAACACGGTCTATACATCGTACTTTTGTCAACGAACTAACGTGATAAGCCCAAGCCAAATCAAATCGAACACCAGGCCCACTTCGATCGAGATTCCTCGGATGCGAAGGGCCAACAGCTGCGTCAGATTCCCAATCGATTTGGCCAACATTCAACTCGCATAAGCTCTGTGCTTCCAAAACTCTTTTCATTTGATATCTCGATAGGAGTCATATAGATAACAGCCTTAATAGGTAGATAGATAGATATATAGATAGAGAGTTGTATAGATAGATTTATAGACTAATAGATATATTGATAGACAGATAGATAGTTAGGTAGATAGATAGATAGATAGATAGATAGATAGATAGATAGATAGATAGATAGATAGATAGATATATATATATAGATAGATAGATAGAGAGATGTATAGATAGATTTATAGATTAATAGATAGATTGATAGACAGATATATAGTTAGGTAGATAGATAGATAGATAGATAGATAGATAGATAGATAGATAGATAGATAGATAGATAGATAGATAGATAGATAGATAGATAGAGAGATGTATAGATAGAGAGATAGATATATATATAGATAGATAGATAGATAGAGAGATGCATAAATAGATTTATAGAATAATAGATAGATTGATAGACAGATAGATAGATAGATTGATAGATTGATGTATCAACAGATAGATTGATATATATATATATATGGATAGATTGATATATATATATATATATAGATAGATATATATATAGATAGATAGATAAATAGATAGATAGATAGATAGATAGATTGGTAGATTGATTGATAGATTGATAGATTGAAGTATCGATAGATAAATTGATAGATTGATAGATTGATGTATCAATAAATAGATTGATAGATTGAAAGATTTATGGACTGATTGGCGGATAGATTGATATAAAGATTGATAGAGTGACTAATTGATAGATTGATAGTATCATAGATTGATAGATAGATAGATTAATAGACTGATATATTGATAAAAAGATTAATAGATAGAACGTACACGAGATTGATAGACTGATCGACTGATAGATTGATAGATTAAAGATTGCCAGATTCACTGATTGATTGATTAATAGATTCGTAGTCTCATGAATACACAGATTAATAGTTAGAAATATAAATAGATAGATATATAGATAGCTAACAATTGATAAGATAAGCTAAGATAAGGTAAGATTCTTCAAGGAGATACCTCTACAGATAGTTAGAAAACAGTCAAACATATAAGTCCGAAATTTTTGCTCCCTTCCCATGCAGTAATAGGTCCGTAACTATATGCAACCTGCACAAAATCCAGACGTCTTCAATTAGCTGCAAATTTTTAGGAGCTATCGATCATTACTCATACGAAATTGACATATATATGTCAGAAACCTATCAGACATAGTCGACAAACTTCCCACATCAATAAATAAGCCCAGACAGTAAAAAACATCAACACAAAATACAACTCAACTTTCTAATTTAAAAAATTAAAACCCACCAAACATTCGTTCAGAAGAAGCAACCGCAATGAACGTTCGTAAGAAACTGCATTTTGAACCAGATAAGAAACGCGAAAAAATACAAAAGATGATCATATACCCGCTGCCCGAGGCACCAGACGAGCAATGTCGCGATGCATTCCTAAGGCAGATCTTTGAGCCCTATGAGCGGTATCAGTCGTCAGAGCTCACTATTCAGTCGGAATATTCCAGCGAAATGCAGAATCGCAGTCAGCATAAATTAGGTATCAACTTATATGACCCGGATGAGAAGCTCGTGACCAGCTATGAGAGGAATGCACGACTCACGGTCTACCACAAAAAGGCCATTAAGATGTCACTGGGCGACAGCAGGGTCACAGCGCCGAACATCAATAAGTTGCTGAGGGATCGCTATGGCAACATAGCCACGGCGATTGGGGTCGTCGCCGTGCTCTGCCTGCTGACGGACGTCAAGCATCGGATGAGCGTGGTGCGCAGCATGTGGCGTCACGAATCGAATGTGGATCGGAATCTCCGGATGTTCAGCTGGTCCATTCATGACTATCTTTTGCGCTTTCAGCGACGCAATGAGAACTATTTGGATGCCGTTGAGTGGGAGCTGAAGGGCCAAATGGACTGCTTCAAGTTTCGAATGGATCTGAAGGAAATCATACGACTCGTCGATGCTATCTACGACGACTATAGAGCTAGGCGTAACTTCTGCGAAAGCTGCTTGTTGTCCATACGGTAAATCACACGCTCTAAACATTTGGAAAACTTAAACTCCGTAAGCTGTATTACAGGGATGCCGAGGTGGATATTATGGAGCTGGTGACAAAGACTAGGAAGGAGGCTGAGGATCAGCAAGCTCAACTGACCAGGGCCATGCAGAAGACGCCGCGTTCCGCCGATCCAGGTGGCTACAGACACAAGGAACTAAATGCAAAGATCAATCACATGGATTGTAAGCAGCCCACCAAACATCTCCACAATTAAATACACAAAATCAATTTCATTATTTCAGTTACGGTGCCCATTGAGGGGCGATATCGCATCAATTGGGCCCAAACAACAATGGAACAGTCCACTTTGTATGACGAAATTAACATTAAGGTAGAGTTACACATCATTTTAGAATATCCTCAAGGTAATTTTTGATTCGCCTACAAAAGTCCATAGAGGACGAGGTAGCTTTTTTCACACAACGCTCCAAAGAATTCGCCTACTTTAGAGACCTCTGTTATATGGCCTACAACATGGAGCTATCGGACTATAGGAACCGCATTAACGAAACGGAGTCGGCATATGAGACAAGCATGGAGCTAGTTAATAACGAGATACAAAGCACACGCAACAAGCTGACGAAGGCCATAGACGACCTGAAATACTACAAGGATCAGATACCAATATTTCATAAGAAAATCGCAGAGGTTCAGGCGATATTCGCCGCAGAGGAGGAAGCAAAGAAGCCAAAGGTAACTGCTCGAAGTCGAGCTGTATATGAACATATATATATATATTTATTGTCATCATATATATTCTTAGATAGTAGAGGTAGAGGCCGTCGTTGCAGTAAAGAAGCCGAAGAAGGGGGCTAAGAAGTTTTAGAGGAAACCAAACAATGAAAAAGATAACTTTTGCTTAACGTTTAGCTACAATAAAATTTATTAATACCAGAAAACTAAATTCGTGTATATAGATATATTATTTATGTTGTATATATATATATATGTTGTATACATAGCTTTTTTGTTTAATTATTTTTGCTTGCAACTGCAACAAGAGTCGCTTGACATAAAATAGTTCATATACATATACACACTAGATAAGTTTGTGGTTTTCTTTAACTCTCGCAACATTCGGTTGGCTTAGATGCTAGTATCTATCTTCGACTGCCCCTGTTCTATCATATATCGCAAACCTATGACTATATCTAAACGTACACTCATTCAGCCAATTAGTTGGGTTTTGTTATTCTGGAAGAAGAAATGGGTTTTGTTTTGTAAATAACTAAAACTTTATACATTTTTGTTTCGTTTCTTTTATACACGCACGGCAGAAATCATAATATTAACTTAATAATAAACTATCGTCATTTAACGTAGAACAAAAGAAGCACTAGACATCATAATCTTATGGCTTACAAGCTATCAATAATATCAATATCAATGAAAAAATCTAAATTTACGTTCTTCGAGATATAAACAAAATATAAAGTTTAACACTAATTAGATTGGTTAACACGCACATAAAACGTTGAGTTAATTAAACAGAAATTTGGTTGGCTCACAACTTAGATTAGCTCTTCAAAGGATTACAGAATTTTCTTAATTATTTTATTATTTTTTTTTTGTTTTTTTTTTTTTAAACTTTTTTTTTCTAATTGGGCGCATGCGCCGTACGCAGCTTGGCGCGCACATTTAAATATTCGGGATTGACATATTGACGCTCCTCAGCGTCTTCGGCATCCTGTTTCTGCGCAGCTGCCCCATGCTTCTGGGCACGCTCCATGATGACGCGCCCCAGCTCTCCTTTGAGTCCAGCCAACTCCGTTTCAGGCGAATGCTGTTCAATAGCCGCGGCATGCCGCTCCTTTTGCTTCTCATAGGCCCGTTGCAGTTCCGTCTTCTGATTGAGCACGCTTTTGCCACTAAACGGTATAGATAGGGGTGGTCAATCAGTTAATCAATTCAATTTGCATTTCATTTGCTACTCACATGCGCGCATTGAACTTGAGCTCGCGATGCAGCTCTTTACGGTCGGTGTTCTCCATGCAGGGATTGATCAACTTCTTTGGCAATATGAGGCCCTGATCATCCGTTTGGACGCCCGTTGGCGTCGCCGGCGGCGAGGTGGACATGGACATCATCGTGTCAGTTGACTGCTCGCCCAAGCTATGCCTACGAGTCGCTGTATCTGCAATGACAAAGAGAATGCCGATCAATATATGAAAGGAAGATAAGACAACAAACGCAACTGACATCTCGAACTTTCTATAGGCATTAAATAAAAGTGGCATCAGAATCGCTGGCAGTTACTAAGTTTAATTGGCACTTGGCCTTCGTTCCATAAATCAAACAATGCCCAACAGCAGCAGCAGCAGCAGCAGCAGCAGCAGCAGCAGCAGCAGCAGCTGCAGCAACAACAAAGATATATGAGCCAGTCACAACAAAAGAGCGGTCGATGTCTTCTTGAGTCGCGTTCGTTTATTAAGGTTAAATATTTCTTTGCATTCATGTCATTGTCAATTTGTTGTTACACTAAAAAAAGCTGAGAAGAAGCAGCAGAAAACTGCCTATCTGTTACAAAAAGCACAACAACAACGGCAACAGCCGCTCTAAGCCAAAGGCAAAGCCAACCCAGACACAGACGAGTCAATTCTGAAATTCTTTCAGCGCTTTGTTCGCCCCGTCACCATAATAACCCACATTTGGGCGCACATTTCTGGAGCAGCAAAAAGATATAAAAAAATAAAAGACGAGAGGAAAAAAAACTTTGGTTTTTAGCCAGAACCAGAACTAGATTAATAGCCGTTGATAAGGAACTGAAAGAAATGCCGTTGAGTTGGGCAAACTCGCGCTTTGTGAAAGTCGTTCAAATTGATGTGCTCAAAAACGTTCCACAAATAAAATACTTAAAAGCGTGAAATCAATTCGGAAACTATTTTGAATATGAGCAAATTTTTATGCTCGCCCAAAATTATGCAAATGTCCGAAAGGAAATGGCAAAGGGGGAGCCAAGCGAATACTTCCATACTCCACGATATATATAACATCTAGCAGAGTGTTGCATACCAAATTTAATGGCTTCAGGCTATTAAGCATCTGTGAGTTCAGCGAGGCAGTTGGCATCGGAACAACATAATTATATGGCCAAGACTGCATAACATCATTTTGCCTTTAATGGCCAAGTTGACCCAATGTTGAATAATGCAAATATATAATAGATACATATTCGCTGTTCTTATGTAATCTACTACACTCTCTAAGAAACTCATGAACACGCACATAAACCTCAGCATTAATAACAAACATTCTAGTTCCTAGTCTTAAGAGCTGTTGATTTATATGCGCTATTAACGAATTAGAAATAACAAATCGTTAAACAAGTTCATAAAACACAAATTGTTTTTATCTCAATGCGGAAGTTTAGCATTTGAGCATGAGAATAATAATAATATATATATATATATATAGGAGAGCCTCAAGTCAGCTGAAAAAGAGGTGAAGCATATATGCCTCAATCTATATGCCAACTATATTATAACTCAACCCATATACCAACTATGTTCTGAGTGTTTCAGACCTTCGTATAATCGAAAATAATATGTTTTTTCTTATCGTAACTTATCTTAGAGTTGTAAAGTAATTTGATATAGTAATCTATATAATTAATATAATTTAATGCATATTTAAGCTCAACATATCACTTACAACTCAAGCCCTTTTATGGATTTACTGAAAACACGTTATATGCGCTTAGATATTTCGATAAAACACTTGAAAGTATTCATTGTCTCTATGCAACGCCTCAACACCAAATGAATAATAAATCAACTCTAAGCCTAATGGATTACCAACCAAATTCTATGATTCTACCTCTCCCACATGGAAATTCGTTTAGCTTAGAGTCAATGGAAGACAAAAGGCCTTTTGCATTATCAATGCTGAGCTGTAAGTGAAAATGTCTAGAGTCTCTGATCGTTAACCCATATGCATATCACTGCAAGCGTAAAGTTTTCAATTATGCTATGTGTCGCTCTCTTGATTTGATATATGACTTGGGCCTAACTGTACTTAAGTGTCATGCCTAGTTTAACTTGAAACGCGCTTAGTTCTATTAACTTTCTTGCATTGCGGGTCATATGAAATAAAGCTTAAAATTTCCATTGCCCCAAACATGTTTCAAGACATGCAAACTAGATGAGAACCTCAACTCGACTAAGAGATACCCTGTATTAACTACTGTTATTAATAAACTGATTATTTATTAGAGAATTTTCAATACTGATACACTTGATCTGAAATTATCAGAGATACAGAAGCATAAAATGAGCTGAAGGAACAGAAGAATTGAATAAACGAATAGATGGAGCATAGCCAATTGAAAGTATGATTGAATGGGCAGATGGATAAGCCTCCAGATGGATCCAGAAGGGATAGATACTATAGCAGAGGCAGCTGTACCGACAGAGAGATGAACAGATGGCTGGATAAGCGGATGGACCCATAGATAGTAGAGTATGTGCGGATGGAACTAGTAAGAGATTGGATGAAATGCATAGATGGATAAACGGTTCGGATAGCTGGTATGGTATAGATGAACAGATAGCCAAGATAGACAGAAGGATAGCCGAAAGGATGAGCGGATATTTAAATGCTATTGATACTGATCAAGAACAAATCTATTTTAAAGATGTTAAACAGCTTTCTTAAATCAGCTCAAATCATCATACCCATCTTCAATGCATGCGTGGTATTACAACTTTCATTCCAGACAACTAAAAGTAATGTCTGTTTGCTTGATAATATTACAAGTTTTCATATGATAAATTAAATGCACACACACACACACACACACACACACTGAGACACCCGCACAACAAGAAGCCAATTGTTGGCTGCATTTGTCTGGCTGATTGTGGGTCGAATCGGACATGGAGGAACTCGATGAAACAAATTGCATATAATTAGTTTCTATATGGGACTCGGCGGGCCCTTATAGAGGCTGTTGACTGTTATTTCATTTGACTTAATTTGCCACCAACACACGCACTGCTCATTAGAGGCACAGTTCTCAGAGGCTTGGGGATTGTTGGGGTTGTTGCTGTTTGCTTTGCTCAGCGAATTGCGCAAGTGAAAACTTGTTAAACTGCAACGCGTAATCGTAATCGTAATCGCAATCGTAATCGGCATCGTCGGCGTAGTCGTCCATGTCTGCATGTCCAACTATGGCACAGTGAAAATCATTTATGGTGTCTGCAACGTATTGCAGCTGCCACAAAGTGGGCCCTAGCCATGTCGCCATGCCATGCAAATGCAAATCAATCAGTCAATCAAGATTTGCATACGATTTCCGATTGCCCAGACTTCTTATAACTCTGCAGTTGTTGCTAAAAGGTTAAAGGTTACTTCGACTCGTTCATGGCCACTTAAATAGAGACAAGCTAAAACTTTAAGCCCATTGTTAAATTAACGCTAATTTGTTGTAATTGTGCGCTGCGACTCTTTACAAATGATTTTTTGATTGATGGGCTACAGAAATTGATGTCAACTCGAACTTTGAGCTGCACAATTGGCCACTAACTGCAGCGTGGCCCTTTGTTAATGGCTTCACTGTAGCTGCCTTGTTAATAAAGATATTTCCCAATTGAAAGACACATACAACAAGAGTCTTATTGACTGAGGAAATTTAAAGCTTTTCAATCTTTCAACATTTTTATGCAAACAAACGAAATCTTTAATCTTTTACCCTGAATTTACCTTTTTCAATGGCTTCTGGGTATGATTAATCAAGGCATTTCAATTAGTTTAGGCAAGCTGCTTGCTGTAGATTCTGAACTTTTCGCATAGTAAATTTTATTTTTATAGTTAATTTCTTAATAGATCTAGATCAACGACCAGGCAGGAACTGGAAGTGGGAGTTCAACTATCAAGGATTTAGTATGAGTCATTTAGTTGGACAAGCCCGACTAGGTTATACCCTGATCTTAGCCAAAGAGCTGATAGTTAAACACACACACACTTTATAATGTATAATAAGTTAGAGTACAATAACTCCAGCAATCTTACATTAATATATTCCGAATTTTCGAGGCCAAAAATCCCATTCAATAAGCTTAAGCTTCAATTTGTATTTAAAGCACATTTACATAGCTTAATATGGAAAATATGTAAATTGAGATTGAATAGCAGCTAATTAAGATCAATGATAGTGTTGCCACCTTTTTAAATTGTTTAAAATAGTCAAAAATTAAAAGTTTAAAAAGGTAAAAGGGAATACAAAAAAGATCATTAAAGGAAAAATAAGTAAAAAAGTAAAATAAAATATATATATAAAAAAAAAAATATATATATATATATATATGTATATATAAAGTATATAAATATTAGTAAAATAGATAAATATAAGTTTCAATATCAATATAGTAAATATCTATAAAATGCCATATATCAATTGAAATTCAAATTCAACTGAGGCTGTTTCGCAGCTGCCTTTCAGCCTTCAGCCGCACTCCTTGCATAATCTCGTGATTCAGTCAAAAGTTTACTCAAACACCAACTGAATACATAAATCTTATACACACTTCATATCAGGCGAGTTGATCTTAAGAAATGTTCAGTTTCAGTTTTCTCCCGCTCTTTGAACACAAAATACATAGCTTATAGCCAAATATCTCTCGAATTCATCGGCAACACGCTTCGAAATTTCCGATTACTTACGACCACAAAGCGATTTCACCAGCTATATATATATATATTGCTGTTGTCTCTCAGAAGATTTGACATTTCTGTTTCGGTTTCTGTGTGCTTTAACTCACTTTCAAAGATGGACATGCGGCTCATGATGCTTGTCGAGATATGCGGCGCCGGACGTTGCATATTGTAGATTAGGTCTCTTTTATAACAACGGTTTCTTAAAACGTTTACACTTAAATTTGGCTATTTATAAGACATATATATTCTAAAAAATTAATACACACAATAAAATTTGAAGGGTTTTCAAGTTATGTTAAAACAAAAAACATAAACAGAGACACACGCACGATAGAGACAAATGTAGCTTAGTTTTTTTTTTTGTCTATTTGTTTAGACAATTGCTGTGTTGTTCTTTGGGATTAAAACACAGTTGCCACTTGCATTTTCACTTGCCCCATGGGTTGATTGGCTTTCGCTTTCGCGTTGGCTTTTGCTTTT